TGTTGAAGCTGAGTGATAAACACATAAGGATTCCTTATATTCTCTCTCTCTAATGTTTGAAAATGACTACAAAAATATTTACAGAGTAGTATAAACATTTGTTTCAAAATATGTAGGTTGACAACAAAAGAAATAGTTAAAAAAATAAAAAATAATTGACTAAAGGAGGTGAAATGTGAGGTCAGAGCAGAGCATTGCTATAATTCGATATTTCTACTGGCTCTCTAAAACAAGTAATATATAGGCATACTTTGTAAAAACTAAAAATGCATATTAAAAAGAAAAGAAGTGGTAATAACAGCTACATTAGGTTAAGAGAAACAAATAATAACCCAAGTTCTCATTACTTTTGCTTAGTTAACTGTCACATGATCCTGACAAGTCTATCTTTTGTCCAGTCTGCATACCACAAGCAAATTAATTTTCATAAAGTTCAAATTCCTTTATTTCTATATTAACACACTTGAAGATTAGTCTGTCCAAACTAAACACAATCCAAAATTGGTAATAAATATGGAGAGAGCTCCAACTTTCCATCTAATTACATTTCATTTTTGTATGTGCTTAAAGAACAAGACATATTAGAAATAGGGAGGTCTGATTTTATTGAATAAAAAGAATGAAGCTCATCAGGAGGCAAGCAATCTTTGATTCCACCACAGTGTTCTAACAGGAGATACTATCATCTTATCCTATGTTCATTTCTATACACTGAAACTGTCTTTATATCAAACTCCATTGTGTTTTGACTTTTTTCTTTCATACTATCACCCAAAATGATAACATTCCAACATCATTAGTTCTATACTGGTTTTCCATGCCTCTGGAGTACTATCAACTGTGGATAACTTAAATTCAGATAACTAGATGTTTTTTAACCTTCATATTCTGTTATAAGCCCCTGCTTGTAATTGACCACTGTAACCATGCTGCCTCCATGCACAGGGCAAAACTATAGCTTCAGTGATTAAAGAGGAGAAAAATTAAACTAAATTGACAACAAAAGTTTGAAAATAAAAGACAGCAAAAAAAAAAAAAAAAAAAAAAAGGGACATGAATGCTGGCAAAATTCAGAACTTTCTGACTCCACAATGGAAAACTCATCCTTGATTTCATTAATCCCTTACATTCCTCTCTCCTCCAATTAGGCCATGTTTCTAATTTTGCCCCACAAACAGACATGCTAATTTTACTTCTAAACATTTTGTTATGTTTTTTAGTTTTTAATAAGTCTATAGATCTTACAGGAAAATGGCTTCTCCCCAAGATGGAGGGCAGTGGCATGATCTCAGCTCACAGTAACCTCCATCTCCTGGGTTCAAGTAATTCTCTTGCCTCAGCCTCCCAAGTAGCTGGGACTACAGGCACACACCACCATGCCTAGCTAATTTTTTTTTTGTATTTTTAGTAGAGATGGGGTTTCACTATGTTGACCAGGCTGGTCTTGAATTCCTGACATCATGATCCATCCACCTCAGCCTCCCAAAGTGCTGGGATTACAGGCATGAGACACTGCATCCAAATACAGCCCTTCTCTTAAAACTTTTTTGGTGTTTTTTATCTGGTTTACTCATTTACTAAATAGATGCTTCACATGCAATTTAACATTCAATGCTAGCTCACTAGACAGAGACTATGCCCTGTTTTTCTAACTCTAGCCTGATTTCGTCCACATTTATTTTGAAAATCTATAGGTAAAATTTTAAAACAACCAAAAATAAGAAAAGTCTTCCCAAATATAGCTTTATATCAATTCGTGAATCATTAAGAAGAAGAATAGGCCGGGTGCAGTGGCTCACGCCTATAATCCCAGCACTTTGGGAGGCCGAGGCAGGTGGATCACGAGGTCAAGAGATCAAGACCATCCTGGTCAACATGGTGAAACCCTGTCTTTACTAAAACTACAAAAATTAGCCGGGCATGGTGGCATGCGCCTGTAGTCCCAGCTACTCGGGAGGCTGAGGCAGGAGAATTGCTTGAACCCAGGAGGCGGAGGTTGCGGTGAGCCAAGATCGCGCCATTGCACACCAGCCTGGGTAACAAGAGCGAAACTCCGTCTCAAAAAAAAAAAAAGAAGAAAAAGAAGAAAAGTTTTTCTTTCTCCAGGTGGACTAATAAACAAGTGGTAGACATCAAAATATGAAAATATATGTAAAACAGTATATGTTTTCAGACTCCAACCATGCTGGTAGACATGTAATAGAATGTTAGTCGAGTGATGGGCAAGACCAATGTAGGCTGGAAATGTTGAGGACCATTTACTATGAGATTAAACTTAAATAACTGCTAGAATTTAGGTAACAGCATTCATAATTAACAGCAGAGACATGAAGAGTTTCAAAATTCTGAAGGCATTAAAGATACATATTCCTATGCTGTCATTTCTAGAGTTAAATACCTATTAATACCATGAACACAGATATTGCATGAAGATACTCAGAGGAAAAAGAAGTCTACTGTAATTCAGAACTGCTTTGGGTGATGTTCAGTGAGAGATGAGAAAGGAGTCATGTAAAAGATATTTCATAAGCAGAAATAAACAATAAACCAGAACGAAGGAAGAATTTGAATCCTTTAGAGAAGCCCAAAGAAGAAAGACATTTCCAAGAAGAGTGAAATGGATCAAATACAGAATAGAAGATTTCCTATTTCAATTGGTAGAATTAAACATCTATCTCCTCTCCACTCTGCAAACATGGATAAGAAATAGAAAAAGAAAATACATCTTCTGGCCAGGCACAGTGGCTCATGCCTGTAATCCCAGCACTTTGGGAGGCTGAGGCAGGCAGATCATGAGGTCAGGAGTTTGAGATGGTATAACTCCATCTCTATTAAAAAATACAAAAATTAGCCAGGCATGGTGGTGCATGCCTGTGATCCCAGCTACTTGGGAGGCTGAGGCAGGAGAATTGCTTGAACCTGGGAGGTGGAGGTTGCAGTGAGCCAAGATCGTGCCACTGTACTGCAGCCTGGGTGACAGAAAAAGACTCCGTCGAAAAGAAAAGAAAAAAAAATACATCTTTAGTGAAACTTAAAGATAGCTAAACTCCATCCCCAGAATAGGAGGAACGAACACAGGATAGACTGGATCAGTCAGGGAAGAAACCCAGAGATAGCAGTTTCTGTTTCTTATCTCAAATGGAAAGTACAGGGAAAAGAGTTCTCTAAGACAGAGGCACCCCCTTTTGGGCAGAATGAATGAATCATTTTTTGCCAGATATCTTGAGATTGTGGCAGAAACATAATGGACTTCATCTGGCCCTGATAACAGCAGGAAATACCTTCATCCAAAGATGACAATGATAACCATAAAATAAACCAGCATGAAATCTGTACGACGTTGAAGGAGCAAAAAGCATGAATCCACAAGTTGAAAGGAAAAACTGATACCGACTGACCAACACCAAGACATAGCCTCATAAAGCCACTTAAGCTTTAAAGAAAAAGAAACTTATAGGTATCCAGGAAAATAAGTCACCTACGAGGGGAAATAATCAGGCTTCAGACTTCAATCAACATTCAAATCTAGGAAACAACAGAGTATTGTCTAAATCCCTCAGGTAACTGTCTCCAAAACCATTTGGAAAAGAAAGTACGGCTCAAGCATTTTACACGTGGCCAACTATCAACTATTAACCAATATTAAAAAGATATTTTGTTATATGCAAAATCTCAGGGACTCTAGTTTCTACTAAATTATAAGCTCATAATGACAGGATTTTGTTTGGTATACTGTTATATATCCATGCACAGAATAGTATTTCATCTTTGTTCTTACTACTAATAAATGTAGTTTTCTTTCCTTAGTATCCTCTACTTGGTCATTGATATATACATGAAAGCTATTGACTTTTATTTGTTAATTTGATATCCTGCCACCTCACTGAGTTCTCTTACTATTTCTTGTACTTTCTCAATTGGTTCTCTTGTGTTTTCCAGGGCTACAATCTCATTATCTGTAAATAAGAATGGTTTTACAGCTTTCTCACCCATTATTACAGTGAAATACACAAAAGCTACAATGGGAAAACTTGGAAAGTTCCATTTCTAAAGGACACAAAAGATCATATGAAAATCTGAACAAGAATAGAGTGTATTCTTAGACAGAAAACCTTAGCATTAAAAGGATGATAAATTTCCAAAAGTTAATTTATATATTTAGCACAATTGCAATAAAAATTCCAACACGCTTTTCTCTGAAAATAGATGGCCACGTCTAAAATTCATATAGTAAAATAATCAAAAATAGCCGGGATAACTCCAAAAAAGTATATGCGACTGAGGAAAGGAAGAGACTGTATCAAGGATAAGAGGAAGATTTACTTTTGCACAAAAGGTATAATATTGGTTTTATAGGTATAATACTGGTTCCACTGGTTATATTCTTTTTAACCAAATATGGACCTCCTGTATTTTCAAAAAATTAAAGGAATCGAAGGCAGAAATAAGAAGAAAGGAGATATTGTGGGATTTCTAAGTCAGAAACTTTTACATTTCTAAGCCGCGGGATTGTGAGGGTTGTGAAGTACAATGGGAAGCGAAACTACTGTTAACCAAACACAAGTCTGAGGCTTTTTAAAATGGAAACAAATAAAAAAAAAAACTAAGTGTGAAACAAACATGTTTTCAAATTACTACACAACAATGAAATGCTGAATGCATACAAAAATGAAACCACGAACATAAAGGAAAGAAAGAGCCCAAGGATCATAGGGAGGAACAATAATCCTGAAAGTAATGCTGTGAATGATTAGGGAAGGTTGGTATTATGAAATCAGATAGGGCTAATGGCTCTCTACAATTTAGAAGAGGAAAATATCTACAATGTAGGGAGAATAATATCTAGAAATGTCACAGTAATCTAAAGTACTCCATACCATTTGTCATTCTAGAAAACTAGGGCCTTTAAGAAAATCCTAGAAATTGTGAAATGATATCAACCCTTCACTCAACAACTCTCATGTGGCTTTCTCAGTCAGAGTTGCTTTTCACTTATTCACCTGGACAGTGCCTCCCAAACATTTCTTCCTCCATCACCCAGGGCTCCTCTTCTTGCTCCAACTTGAATATCACATCCGGTTTGGTGACTTGACAGCCTTTTACAAGAAAGAGCAAAGGACTTGGATGTTAATGCTGGAGACAACCATCCAGATCTTGGCTAAGTCCAAGCATGAAAGTTTACGAAAGATGAGGATGAATGAACTTACACAATGACACAAAGTAATTAGCTTTTAACACTTAAGAGTGGAGTACATACAGTCATGTGGAGAAAGGAAAGGCTAGACTCATCTGGCAAGTTACAGTCTTCACACATTTCAGAAATGAAAAAGAATTCTCTGTTAAATTGCAAAGCTACCAAGCTACCTTACCCACTGTGACTAGATTGCTGTAGTTCTCCAGCATCACATCCCGATACAAGTTCCTTTGAGCAGGTTTCATTTGCTCCCATTCCTCCTGGGTAAGGTCAACAGCCACATCCTTAAATGTCACTGTTTCCTGTAAAAACATAACACTAATTCATTTGCGGTCAAAATTAGGCACTGTGATCAAAACATGTAAGAACTTGTTTAGCTGGTACTCAGGGGTCAGAGTTCACTATAAATTTTATCAGGTCTTCATATTTACTTAATTTAACATTATACTGTAGGGAAAATACAGCATAGCAGAAATATCCTTGAAAGGTATGTTAGTTATTGAGTTAGCAAACTTATTCATTTAACATCTCTTATGCAGGAAGCTAGAGACAGTGGTCATTGATTTTTACTGGGCTGTGACAGAGATGGAAGAATTGAACATGACTCATGGGTAACTGGCTCAGAACCTGTCCAGATGTTTATGTGATCTAGGGAAAAAGGGAACATGGCAGAGAGTAGAGAGGTAAGAGAAATAAGGCAAGAGGAGGGAAGAGAGGCATGAAAATTTGAACATGCAAAGCATGAAATTCCTGTAGGACAGGGTATCCAATCTTTTGGCTTCCTTGGGCCACACATAAAATACACTAACACTGATAGCAGTTGATGAGCTTAAAAAAAAAAAAAAAAAAAAAAAAAAATCACACACAAAAAATCTAATAATGTTTTAAGAAAGCTTACAAATTTGTATTGGGTTACATTCAAAGCTGTCCTGGGCTGCATGTGGCCTACTAGCTGCAGGTTGGACAAGCTTGCTATCGGACTTTCAGATGGAAATATTCACTATGGAGTTAGATATAAGAAAGGAGATGAAAACTTTTTAGTCATCAACCTAAAATTGGGAGCTGAATCCATGGCTGAAGGATGTGAGCAGCTGTAGAAAATATACATGGTGGCTAATACAGCTAAGGACAGAGTCAATAGTCAACTATCAAAGAAAGGGACTCAGGTTTCAGTCTTTTGTTTGTTTTATTTACAATTAAAGGATGGGAATTAAATCTATGAGAATGATATACCAGAAACCAACAAACAAATGCCAAATTTCTAAAAAAGAATGTGATTTGATCAATAATATCTAGCTCTTCCCATTAAAAAAATTATATATCCAAATAAGGAAATAAAGAAAAACCTTTTAACTGCAAAGATTCTCTAGGGGGAGAAAAAAGCATCCGCATATCCCACACTTAGGGGAATTTATCCAAGAAATTGTACAAATGGGACAAGATAAAATGGGAAATACAAATGGAAATCACCAAAGGCTGAATTTCTTTCTTTTTCTTTCACAGACAGAGTCTCGCTCTGTTGCCCAAGCTGGAGTGCAGTCGTACGATCTTGGCTCACTGCAACCTCCGCCTCCCGAGTTCAAGCAATTCTCTTGCTGCAGCCTCCCAAGTAGCTGGGATTACAGGTGCCCACCACCACACCTGGCTAATTTTTGTATTTTTAATAGAGACAGGGTTTCACCATGTTGGCCAGTGTAGTCTTAGAACTCCTGGCCTCAGGTGATCTGCCCACCTCAGCCTCCCAAAGTGCTGGGATTTCAGGTGTGAGCCATCACACCCAGCCCAAGGCTGTATTTCAATTAATGTTTCTGAGAAATGATCTCTATGATGTTGAGATCATTACTATCATTAATATTATCATCACTGTCATCTACTGACTACTTGTTACATGCTAGGCATATATTTTGCTATATTAGCTTTTAAAATTCTCCTAATAAGGCTATAAAGTAGCTACTATTATCCTTTTAAAAGGTAAGAATACCTTGATAAGTTTATATAAACACTGGTAAAAATTTTTAAAGATTAAAATTTCTGGAAATTATCCTAAAGGCATATAGCAAATAAAGAACCATTTAATAACAATAATAAACCACTAAAACTTTGTTTAAAAAAAAAAAATAACTATAACAGTCCATGGCATTTGAGCCACAATCTGCAGGTTTAAATGCTTCCCACCAGTTATGCTTGTTTTACTGGGGATTAGGTCCATGGAATACTTTACATTGCTATCCTAGAAGTGGAACTCCTCTCAACTTTTTATTTTTGTTTTTGTTTTTTTCTCAACATTTAAATCTTATTCTATTTTTTTATTATATGCTCTTTTTAAATCCTAAATTTGAATAATTGTATTATTTTTCTTGTTTTAGGCTTGACAAATGTGAAGAGACAAGGAAATAAATTTATCTGCAAGAGTTATGGCAAAGTTCAAGTTTAAGGGCGTACTCAGAAACAATAGAGATTTTGGTGGTGAGCAATTAAGAGAAGGTGGTAATTCTTTTTATTTATTAGTTTTATTTTATTTTTTTTTAAGAGATAGAGTCTCACTCTGTTGCCCAGGCTGGTGCAATCAGGGCTCACTGCAGCCTCAAACTCTTGGGCTCAAACAATTCTTCTACTTCAGAAGTAGCTGTTCACAAGCGTGATTATAATAGTTCACTATAGCCTTAACCTCCGGGGTTCAAGTGACCCTCTTGCCTCAGCGTCCTGTGTAGTAGGCCTATTGAGGCTTCTATTATAGACTAACATATTTTCTATCTCAGAGAGTGCTCTATATTCAATTGAGAAGAATGTGTATTCTGTTGAACAATGTGATATATAGGTATCTGTTGGGTCTGGTTGTTGTATGGTGTTTGAGTCTTCTATTTTCTTGCTTATAATCTGCCCAGGCTGGAGCACAGTGGCACCATCTCAGCTCACTGTACCCTACACCTCCTGGGTTCAAGTGATTCTCATCCCTTAGCCTCCCAAGTAGCTAGGATTACACGCACTCCAGCCTGGGCAATAAGAGTGAAACTATGTCTCAAAAAACAAAACAAAACAAAAAAAAACCAAAAAACTAGAAGGCAGGTAGATTGCTTGAGCCCAGAGTTCAAGACCAGCCTGGGCAATATGGTGAAACCCCATCTTCACAAAAAATACAAAAACTTAGTTGGGCATGATGGTGAGTTCCTATCCTACAGCCTTGGCTACTGGGAGGTTAGGAATGGGGCTGAGATGGCAGGATCACCTGAGCCTGGGAAATCAAGCATGATCATGTCACCGCACTTCAGCCTGGTTGACAGAGGGAGACTCTGCTTCAATTAAAACAAAAAGGTACTAAGAAGATGATCAAACTAAATCTGAAGTAACCAAAAGGAAATAAACAAACATTAGAATGGAAATTAAAGAAATACAGAATAAAATTACATTAGAGAGAATCAATAAAACTAAAAATTGACAAAATGGACAATATGAGAAAGAAAAGAGAGAAGATTCAAAATATTAAAATCAGGACTAAAAGAAGAGACAAATGTATATGTATACAAATGTATACAAAAATATGTATATATTTACATACATATAAAAAAATGTGTGTGTGTGTGTATATATATATATATATATATATATATATATATATAAATATTTTTTTCAATTCTTCTCCAATTAGTCTGCATTATTGCAGTGAAAATCCCCAATAGGATTTCTTCCTAGAATTAGATAAACTAATTCTAAGATTCAAATGGAAGCCCAGAGGTCCCAAAGTAGCTGAGAAATTTTTGAAAAACTAAGTATAATGTGTACACATAAATAAGTGGTGAAATCATTGCCCATATATAAGGATTATTATAAAGTAACAGTAATTAAAACAATGTAAAGCATACACACAAAATATAGTACTGATACAAACGTAGACAAACAGATTAAAGCAAAAGAGTAAAAGCTTAGAAACAATCATGTATGTATACAGTAAAGGTGGCATCACAAAAGGAAGATCTACTTAATAAACGTGTTGGAACAACCACTCTTCTAAGTGCAAAGATAATTCTACTAATAGACTTAACAGTACATTCCTATCTCAAACCAATTACTATATTATAATCCAGTTGGATTAAAGACTAAAAATGGAAAACAAAGCTTTGAACAGAGATTATCTCTATGGTCTAATGTTAGAAAAGATATCTTAGAAAAAATCAACATTGGCAACTCATGAAAAAAAGACTTAAATATTAATTGTATATTTTGACTGAATTCTATTACATATACATATTTATCCATATTTATCACACAGTAAACATAACTATCCAAACTTAAGTGTCTATACAACAAAAAATAAATGATAAAAGTGACAGATCGGGAGAAGGTACCTGCATAAATCCTAAGTCCTAATACTGAAGCAGGTATTTTTAACATATTCTAATTTCAAATAGAGAAAAAAAACTAACATTATAAAATAGACAAACTATATGAATGGGTAATTGGCTTTTGTATTTCTTCACTCATAATGAGCCTCCATCTATCTGGACAGTATCATAGTGTGTGGGCCCTAGAGTCAGACTGTATGGATTTGAATCCTGGGTTTATGACACACTGATGCATGATGTTACATAAGCTTCTTAAACTTTGTGCTTCATTTCACTTAACTAAGAAAAATTAAATAACATGTACTTTATCGACGTCTGATAATAATTACATAAAATAAGCTATGTAAAGCACAATACACTTGGCACATGGTAAGCACTTAATAAAACTATAATTTTGGTCCTCCATATTTGTGGGTTCAACATCCATGGATTCAACCAATGGCAGATCAAAAATATTTGAGAAAAAAAAATGACAATACCTGTATTTAACCCTCCCAACCTACCTATGGGATAAATACCATTATTATCCCCATTTACAGACATACAGATGATGCAACTGAATCACGAAAAGATTAGGAAACTTGTCCACAGTCATGCACTTCATAAGTCACGGAGCCAAGATCTGAACACAAACCTGTCTAGGGCCAAGAGGTAACTAAATGAGGCATATGCTCATATGGTCAAAAGAAGTATGTGCATATATTTCATGATGGTAAAGACATAAGCTGCGGAAAAGGGGCAGTTAAATGGAAAACATTCAAACTATAGGAGTGTGAGTGACTTCAGAGGTGGAAATAAAAAGAATCAAGAGCAGAAGAGAATATGAAAATTTATAAAATGAGGATGAAGACTGTATCTTCTAAGACCATAAAAAAGATGTGAAAAGCTATGGATATCAGAACTAGAAGACTTTGCCACAGAATGTTAGTACAATTGAGCTCAACTTGGATTAAAAACTCAATTGAAGAAAATATATATGTAGAGTCATTTGAAAGATACGTTTTCCACTTATTCTTCCAGATAATTTTAATTTCTGAACTTTGGCCAAGACCAAGACTTTTAAAAGCTGAGCTAAAAATTGTAAGAATTAAGGAATTACAGTTGTCCCTAGAAAACCATAGAGAATTGGTTCCAGGACCCTCCATGGATACCAAAATCCACAGATGCTCAAGTCCCTTATATAAAATGGTGTAGTATTTGCAGATAACCAATGTACATCCTCGCGTATACTTTAAATCATTCTTAGATTACTTATAAAACCTAATGTGAATTCTATGTAAATAGTTGTTACAGTATATTGTTTAGAAAATGACAAGCAAAAAGTCTGTACACGTTCAGTAAAGATGCAACCATCCATTTTTTTTTAGTATTTTTGATTTGCAGTTTGTTGAATCTACGGATGCAGAATCTACAGATACTGAAGTCCAACTATGTTTTAGAGTTTCTTTTTGACCAAGGTACCAATGAAATGCCTTTTCTTTTCTTTTTCTTTTTGAGATGGAGTTTTGCTGTTGTTACCCAGACTGGAGTGCAATGGCATGATCTCGGCTCACTGCAAACTCTACTTACTGGGTTCAAGTAATTCTCCTGCCTCAGCCTCCCGAGTAGCTGGGACTACGGGCGCGCACCACCATGCCCAGCTAATTTTTGTATTTTTAGTAGAGACGGGGTTTCACCTTGTTGACCAGGATGGTCTCGATCTCTTGACCTCGTGATCCACCCATCTCGGCCTCCCAAAGTGCTGGGATTATAGGCGTGAGCCACCGCGCCCAGCCAGAAATACCTTTTCTTTACTTAAATCATTAAGTTTTTTTCTTCATAAATTGTACAACTTATGGAATAAACTTAATGTCCCAGTTTGCTTTGACTCTCCAGATCATATTTAAATTTGAACGCAACTTTAATAATCCTGTGTGTACCTGCTTCTGCATGGCCATATCTCAAATTTCCCCTGGTTCTGAGTTTCTATCTGTATTTTTTTCTCACTTTGATTTTCATCAATTTATTGTTTCTAACATATTGGTAGGTTACAATAACCTACTGTACCTGGACTGCAAAATAATACAGGAAACAAAATAAATGCTTAAGACGTACAAGAGACCTGGTCGTATCCTCTTCTTCCTCGGAAAGAGCAAACTCCTGAGAACACCAAGCTGAGGGAAGAGAAACAAAACTGATTTGCTTCAAAGTTTCAGACAAAGAAATATGGAAATCTTCAGTTCCAGGTTATAGGACCCTCTACAGATGAATGATCCTTGAAGTAATGAGAAATGTTAATGGCCATCTAGCTACAGAGACATTGAAATGGACATGGATGGCTAATTTAATCATATGGGGTCTGATGGGGATTTCTGCAGGGCTAAGCATAGAGTGCACAATGAATCTATTGTCAATATTTTATCTCTTTAGAATCTTGCTGTTTATTTTGAATAGGAGGTTTATCTTAAGCACATAATAATAGGCCAGGTGCAGTGGCTCATGCCTGTAATCCCAGCACTTTGGGAGGCCAAGGCAGGCAGATCACGAGGTCAGGAGTTTGAGACCATCCTGGCCAACATAGTGAAACCCCGTCTTTACTAAAATAATACAAAAAATTAGCTGGGCGTGGTGGCTAACACCTGTAATCGCAGCTACTTGGGAGGCTGAGGCAGGAGAATTGCTTGAATCTGGGAAGCAGAGGTTGCAGTGAGCCAGAGATCATGCCACTGCACTCCAGCCCACGCAATAGTACAAGACTCCATCTCAAAAAAAAACAACAAAAAAAGTACACAATAATAGATACTCCAAAAATTTAAATATTAGGATGACCTTTAAGATGATTTATTTTTTTGAGATGGAGTCTCTGTCATCCAGGCTGGAAGGTGCAGCAGCCTGACCTCCGCTCACTGCAACCTCTGCCTCCCAGTTTCAAGCCATTCTTCTGCCTCAGCTTCCTGAGTAGTTGGGATTACAGGCACCTGCCACCACACCTGGCTAATTTTTTGTATTTTTAGTAGAGATGAGGTTTCATCATGTTGGCCAGGCTGGTCTCAAACTCCTGACCTCAAGTGATCCACCCACCTTGGCCTCCCAAAGTGCTAGGATTACAGGTGTGAGCCACAGTGCCCAGCCCCTGGTTTAAAAGAATTCTGAGGCTGTTATGTACAACTCTATAACCATGGTAGAGGATTATGCCTGTAATTTCAGCACTTTGAGAGGCCAAGGCAGTCAGATTATGAGGTTAGAAGTTTGAGACCAGCCTGGCCAATACGGTTAAAACCTGTCTCTACTAAAAATAAAAAATTACCTGGGGATGGTGGTGCGTGCCTGTAGTCCCAGCTACTCGGGAGGCAGAGGCAGGAGAGTCACTTGAACCCGACAATCACTTTAACCTGGGAGGGGGAGGTTGCAGGGAGCTGAGATTGTGCCACTGCACTCCAGCCTGGGTGACAGAGTGAGACTTCACCCTCCCCCCAATAAAAAAAAGAATTTAGAAAAAAAACCTTCATCAGAGACTGGCTATAGGTAATGTGGAACATCATAGAATAAAATGAAATACAGTCATGATTCTAATGATGTTTTTAAAAAACTTAATTTAGTTTTTACCCTTAACAATTCAGGGCCTTTTGGTTAAAAATGAAAGACTGAATACCTCTATTTATTCATGTTTTCACTCTCCTCCAAACTAATCATAACGTTAATAAAGGAAAAAAGGAGGCTAAAACTTATAAGGACAAAGAACATAGAAGACTTTCACTGGTAAGAGCTGTCAAAATTTGGGAAGCTAGAGAGCAGACAAATGAGTGGTATCTAACTTAATCAGAGAAAGCTGGAGCTTAAATGAGAGTGGGAGGAGGGTGGGGAAGCCATGGCAGGACCCTAGAAAGGTTCAGAAATGGAGCTACTAATTACTTCTACTGACAAAAGTTTGGAAGTCGGGCTGAAAAACAGAAAACCAAATGTAAGATATCATAAAAAGGTGTTAAGACCACCTGATGTCTTCTTTCACCCAACACAGCATAGTGACATTTCCCTCACATTGGCAACAGAAAAAATATTTTTTTCTCTAGATATACTGAATGGGACAAGCTCTGGATTTCAGGCATAACAGATCCAGATTAAGGTGGGGTTGAAGCAATGCAGAGAGAAAAAAATTAAATAAAACTTCTCATATTGCAAGATGAGGTGCCCAATATGCCCACTTCCTTCCTTTGTCTGTCTCCCAAAAAGTAGGAGTTCTGGCTTTCCTCAAGCAAAATCTAGGACTTCTTGCTGGAGACATTGACTAGATTGGGAAAATACAGATCCTGACATCTGGTCAACCTTCAATCTCCAAAAAATACCATATTAGAAAGAAGGGCAAGGAGAAGAGTATGGTGAAAGAGTATGGTAGTGGTGAAAAAGAAAGGATTAGGTAGTGAAAGAGAGCTAAATCCTTAACTCCATTATCAAAAATCAACAGGAAATATGTAAAACTGAGAAATCAGGCATTAGCAGTATAAGAATATTATTTAGAAAAAAGGAGGCGAACACCAGAATATTGAGACAAAATGTTGAAAGTGGTTGTCTTTCAGGAATGGAAACAGGGATGAGGGATGAAATAGGAAGCTTTTGTTTATGTTATAGTACAGTGTTTAAAAATACATTTAAGGAGGAACGATCCAAGATGGCTGATCGCTAACATCTTGGGATTGCAGCTCTCAGTGAAAGCGCAGAGAACTAGAGGACGCCACACTTTCAGACAAATTCTGGTCGCTCACAGAGCAGAAGAACCCCAGTGGAGGAGTCACACGGGTCGCCAGTGCGACTCTTGTGGCCGGCGCAGCGGTTTCGCTGGCACCTCAGCGCGGCAGCTCTCGGAACAGAGTAAACAGGGCTGGCTCCCCTTCTGACCGAGGTTTGAAGGACCCACACGGGTCCCCAGCACGACTCCTGAGGCCAGCGCAGCGGCTGTGACGGCACCTCAGCGCGGCAGCTCTTGGCGCAGAGTAAACGAGACTGGTTCCCCTTCTGACTGAGGTTTGGAGCCCTGGGAAGGCAGAGTCGCATATTACGGACACAAGAAGGAAGCCAGACAGGAGAAACCTGGGCAGAAAAGTACCATCAGTCTTAACACTGCTGTTCTGGCCCTGGGAACTAACAACTTGGACATCCACTCAAGAGACCTAATATGAAAGTTGGTAATTTCAAAGACGACAGGAGGATTAAATTTACAATGATGGGAAAAAACCAGTGTAAAAAGGCTGAGAATACTCAAAATCAGAACGCCTCTCCCTCTAAAGATGATCACAGTTCCACATCAACAATGAAACAAGGCTTGATGGAGAATGAGCGCATCCCAATAACAGAATCACGCTTCAGGGAATGGATAATAAGAAACTTCTGTGAGTTAAAAGAACATGTTGTAGCCCAACGTAAAGAAACTAAGAACTTTGCAAAAAAGGTTTGATGAAATCCTATTGAGAATAGACAACTTAGGAATATAAGCGAATTAATGGAACTGAAGAATACAATACAGGAACTCCGAGAAGTATGCACAGGTTTAAACACTCGAAATGTTCAAGCAGAAGAAAGGATATCAGAGGTCAAAGTCCAACTTAATGAAATAAAACAAGAAGACGAGATTAGAGAAAAAAGGATAAAAAGGAATCAGCAAAGTCTTCAAGAAATGTGGGACTATGTGAAAAGACCAAATTTACGTTTGATAGGTGTACCTGAATGCGACGGAGAGAATGAATCCAAGCTGGAAAATACCCTTCAGGATATTATTCAGGAAAATTTTCCTAAACTAGCAAAGCAGGTCAATATTCAACCCCAGGTAATACAGAGAACACCACAAAGATAATCCTCAAGAAGAACAACCCCAAGGCATATAATCGTTAGATTCACCAGGGTTGAAATGAAGGAGAAAATACTAAGGGCAGCCAGAGAGAAAGGTCAGGTTACCCACAAAGGCAAGCCTATCAGACTTACAGCAGATCTCTCAGCAGAAACTCTACAAGCAAGAAGAGAGTGCGGGCCAATATTCAACATCCTCAAAGAACAGAACCTTCAGCCCAGAATTTCATATCCAGCCAAACTAAGCTTCACAACTGAAGGAAAAATAAAATCTTTTATGAACAAGCAAGAACTCAGAGATTTTATTACCACCAGGCCTGCTTTACAAGAGCTTCTGAAAGAAGCATTACACACAAAAAGAAACAACCAGTATTAGCCTTTCTAAAAATATACCAAAAAGTAAAGAGCACGAACATAAAGAAGAATTTACATCAATGAATGGATAAAACAGCCAGTTAAACATCAAATGGCAGTAACCCTAAATTTAAATTGACTAAATCCCCCAATCAAAAGACACAGCCAAAACCCAACGGCATGTTACATCCAGACCTGTTTCACATGCAAGGATACACAAACACTCAAAACAAAGGGATGGAGAAAGATTTACCAACCAAATGGAGAGCAAAAATAAATGAATAAATAAAAAGCAGGAGTTGCAATTCTCATATCAGATAAAATAGACTTTAAAGCAACAAAGATATAGTGGTAAAAGGATCAATGCAACAACAAGAGCTAATGATCCTAACACCCAGATACACAGAGAGTTAGATTCAATGAGACAGAAAATTAATAAGGATATCAAGGACTCGAACTCAGATCCTGAACAAGTAAACTTAACAAATATTTATAGAGCTCTCCACTTCAAATACACAAAATATACATTCTTGTCAATACCACATCACACCTACTCATAGGTTTAAATGAAACATTGATTGGCCATTATTAATACCCATTTTTTTTTCAGAATAAAGCAATATTTCCGTTCACCCTCCCTCTTTCTCTTCCTCTTTCTTCCTCTCCTTTACTCATTTTTTTCTTCTTTCCTTCTCTCAAAGAAAAAGAAAAAAAGAAATTAACTTGTAAACCTCTAGATCCAGGTCGACAATGTCTCTCTCATTTAAATATACCCTTTAAAAGAATCAAAAATTGCATTTCAAAATTTATTTTAAAAAATCAAATAATCATATGAGTAGGATAAAAAGCAAATGTCTCCCCTGCATAGTCAATTAACACACACGTGACCTTTCTTAGTAGGAGTAATGAATTTCCTTTTTCAGTGTCCCCAAATGTACAGCCTTTCTCTCCTGAGCTCTGTCCACCTCTGAGCCACCTCACCTTTCCTTTCCATCATGTCAGTCAAACGCTCCATTGTTACACAGCTATTGCTGATCACTGAAGGCTGAGATGTCATTCAGACCTTGCTTGGTCAGGGCAGAAAGGTCAAGACAGGCTCTAGTGACTCCAGGGTTCACTCTCTTCCAGGACTCTCTAGCCTCTAAGGCAGGTCTTAGGTCAGGAGGTCTCCTTCCATGATAGACAGCGGTTCCTCAGACTTCTGTTTGCACTTCAGATGTGTTTTATCCTTATGGAGCCAGGACCTATGGATTAGGATATAAATCTAATTTACCCAGTGCCTTTTCAATGGCTCCCTGTGATAACCAGCTTCCAAATGGCTCCCAAGGATCACTGTCTTCTGGTATTCATGTCTTTACAGATCCCTCCCACACTGAGTAGCTCTGACCTGCAAACCAATAGGATATTGCAGAAATTATGGTGTGTGACTTCCAAGGTTAGGTTATAAAAGACATTAGGGCTCTGTCTTGCACATTTGGATCAGGTACTTTGAGGGAAGCCAGCTGCTTTACCATAATGACACTCAACCAGCCCTAGGGAGAGGTCTCCTGTTAGCAGCTAACACTAACTTGCAAGCCAGCTATCTTGGAAGTGAATCCTCCAGCCCCAGTCCAGCCTTCTGATGACTGCAGCCCTGCTGACATCTTGAATGCAACTTCATGAGATACCCAAGCCAAAATACCCAGTGAAGACACTTCCCACAAAAACTGTGAGATAATGTTTATTGTTCTTTAAGCCACTAGTTTTTGAGGTAATTTGTTAGACACTAATAGGTTAAGTAATACAGCCTCAAACACTAATCTTCCTTATTTGTGATTCATACGCTCTGGACACACTGACCAGATATGTAAACAAGGTGATGTTTACCTATCTGTTCTTCAAATATATTCTATGAGTCTAAAGGTGTATGCTTGACGAGGTGACAGATACAAACCTGATTCAAAAAACACCCAGATTTGCAGCAACCCCAAATTTGGCATAAAAGAGAGTTTCATTTGAAGTCCACCTATCCCATTTCATTTTTGTATTATTTTGGCAATTGAGTTAAGGGAGAATTGCAATTTAGAATTCCAAGACTTCATTTGAAATGACAATTATACTCATGTCACAATATTGGATGAATATACGACATGACTATCAAGATATATGAATTTAGCAGCTGAATTTACTAGGTAAAGGGTAAAAAAAAAAAAGATGTGAAACAAAATAGACTAATTTTTGCCCTGTATGATAGAACAGATATAATAAAACAGAAAACGTTCAATTATAGTAAGTGTTGAGAAGTGCTATGCCTGAGATCCTGAGATATCCTCCCAACACCCCTCACATGCTATTTGTTTCATGACGGTGATCACTTTCTAACAAACCATTAATACATACAGTCATGAATCATTTCACAACAGAGATATGCTCTGACAAATGTGTCATCAGGCAATTTCGTCACTGTGCAAACACAAGAGTGTACTCACACAAATGTGGATGGTATAGCCTACTACTCACATGCTGTATGTATAGCCTATTGCTCCTAGGTTACAAACCTATATGGCATGTTACTGTACTGAATACTGTAGACAACTGCAATACAAAGGTAAGTATCTGTATATCTAAACATACCTAAACACAGGAGAGAAATGCTAAAAATACAGTATAAAAGATAAAAAATGGTACAAGGGTTAAAGGGTACTTACCATGAAAGAAGCTTGCAGGACTGAAAGCTGCTTTGAATGAGTGTGTGGCGTGTGAATGCAAAGGCCTAGGACATTACTGTACACTAGTGTAGACTTTTAAACACTGTACACTTAGGCTACACTCAATTTCTAAAAATTATTTTTATTTCTTCAAACTGTTCAATCAGCCTTAGCTTACTGTAACTTTTTTATTTTATACGCTTTTCAATTTTTTAAAACTTTTTGACTCTTGTAATAGCACATAGCTTAAAATGCACTGTATCGCTGTACAAAAGTATTTTCTTTCTTTATATCCTTAGTTTATAAGCTATCTTCTTAAAATAATTTCTTTTAAACTTTTTAAACTTTCTTGTTAAAAACTAAGACACAAACACACATTAGCCTAGGCCTACACAGTGTCCAGGATGGTATCACTGTCTTTCGCCTCCACATCTGGCCCCACTGGAAGATCGTCAGGGACAATAACACACAGAGCTGTCACGTCCTATGACAACAATGCCTTCCTCTGGTATACCTCCTGAAGGAACTGAGGCTGTTTTACAGTTTGTTTTTTTAATAAATAGGCATATGCTCCAAAGTAATCATAAAGTTTGGTACAGTTGGTACACAAACAAGTTACATATTTATTATGATTACAAGTATTATGTACTGTACTAAATTTTATCTGTTATACTTTTATATAACTGGCAGCAGAGTAGGTTTGTTTACACCAGCATCACTGCAAACACATGAGTAATGGTGTTGTGCTACAATGTTATATTGGCTAGAAAGTCACTAGGTGACAGGAATTTTTCAGCTCCAATACAATCTTACAGCAGGGGTCCTCAACCCCTCAACGTACTGGTACCAGTCTGTGTCCTGTTAGGAACCAGGCCACAAAGCAAGAGGTGAGCAGCAGGTGAGCGAGTATTACCACCTGAGCTCCACCTCCTGTCACATCAGGGGTGGCATTAGAGACTTAGGAGTGTGAACACTCTTTTGAACTGTGCACGTGAGGGATATATGTTGCTTGCTTCTTATGAGAATCCAATGCCTGATGATTTGAGGTGCAACAGTTTCATCCTGAAACCATAACCCTGCCATCCCCTGGTCCATGGAAAAATTGTCTTCCACAAAACCAGTCGCTGTGCCAAAAAGGTTGGGGACCACTGTATTACAGGACCACTGTCATATATGTATATAGTCCATACATATATGACACATGACTATAATTTAGGTATATCTACTGTCCATCCACCCCCACAGTATAAATTCCATGAAAACAAAAACTTATTTTTGTCTGTTTTTGATATTGATAGTAGGTACTCAAAACATATACTGAGGCCAGGTGCAGTGGCTCACGTCTGTAATTCCAGCACTTTGGGAGGCCGAGGTGGGTGGATCATGAGGTCAAGAGATCGAGACCATCCTGGTCAACATGGTGAAACCTCGTCTCTACTAAAAATACAAAAAATTAGCTGGGCATGGTGGCACGTGCCTGTAATCCCAGCTACTCAGGAGGGTGAGGCAGGAGAATTGCCTGAAACCAGGAGGCGGAGGTTGCATTGAGCCAAGATTATGCCATTGCACTCTAGCCTGGGTAACAACAGCAAAACTCTGTCTCAAAAAAAAAAAAAAAAAAAAAAAAATATATATGTATATATACACACATACACTTTCGCCTCCACATCTGGCCCCACTGGAAGATCATCAGGGACAATAACACACAGAGCTGTCACATGTGTGTTACTGTCATTTGATAATGGTTCAGCATTATCAAAAACACTACGACAATCAAAAATTAAAAACAGACATTACTGCATGTGTATGTATGCGTGTGTATGTGTGTATATATATACATATATATAAAGTTGAAAGTTGGGGCTCAGATAGTTGTATACTCATGTTTGTAACAGTGTCACTTGCAATTGCCAAAAGGGAGAAGCAGCCCAAGTGTCCAATGATGAATAAACTGATAAATAAAATGTTTATCCATATATGACATACTTATTATTTGGCCTTAAAAAGACAGGAAATTCCTATACATGCTAACATGGATGAATCTTGAGGACATTACAGTAAGTTAAAGAAGGGTCACAAAAGGACAAACAACACATGATTCTGCTAACATGAGGTACCTAGAATAATCAAATTCAGAGACAGAAAGTAGAATGGTAGATGACAGAGGCTGGGGGGAAGGGGAGTAGAGAGTTATTGTTTGATAGGTACTGGGTTTCTGTTTTGCAAGAAGAGTTCTGTGGATGGATCGTGGTGATGGTACCAGAACAATGTGAATGTACTTCACGCCACTGAACTGTACACTTAAATATGGTTTAGACGGGAAATTCTATGTTGTATATTTCACCACAATTAAATAGATCTATGTATACAGTTGGCCCTCCTTATCCACAGGTTCTGCATCCTCAGATTCAATCAACCTCAGATAAAAAAATATAGTTAGGCCTGCTATCGTTGTGTCTGTACTGAACATGTATAGATTTTTTTCTTATTGTTATAACAATGCTTTACATAGCATTTACATTGTATTAGGTACTACAAATAATCTAGAGTTGATTTAATGTATACAAAATGATGTAGGGACTTAAGCATCTGTGGATTCTGGTATCCACGGTGGTGGTGGGGAGTGGGTCCTGAAACCAATCCCTCCCAGATATGAACTGTATATAGAATAAATGAGCTACTACTACTAATTTGGGGATTTAAAACTAGAAGAAAGTAATATATCAGACAAAAATAATAGAGAAATTGGTGGATAGTTTGGAGTTCGAGTATTTTAAGATCTTATTTAAGGTTGAGTTTTGTTAAGTCTGCATATTAAAAATAAAAGGATATTAGCAGAAACCAAACTAGGGGAGAAAAAGGGATAAGGTGAATTTGCACAATAAAAATATGTATGTGCAACTATTATGTATCAATCAAAAAATGTTTAAGGCATAATAGGAAATAAAACATTGTTATCAGCAAATCATGATAAATGCCACTGAATTATACTCACCTATTAAAATAACAGTCCAACAAAATTAACGGATGTAAGCCCAGCAATACGCTCTTTACAAAAAACAGATCTGAAATATGAAGACACAAAGGGGTTAGAAAATAAAATTCTTGACAAATACAATAAAACCTGAAAAGCTATATTATCAGACAAACGAGAACCGGGACTAAAAGGCATTCACCAGGATAAAGAGGCATGTTTCTTAAGGAGGCAGACTGGAATTTTAGTGCAATTCCTCACCCCCTCTAATAGGTTATACATGCATACTCTTTGCCATGTAACTTTGTCCTCCAACTGTGGGCATAATTTAATAAGCTTAATCATGTGACTTGTTCTGGTTAAGGCAATCTCTCTTGTGCTCTGGTGACACATCATGAACAGAACATGCCCTGGCAGCAAATGTCCTTTTGGCCTGAGACCCAGAAAGAACACCTGTGGAGCAGATCTTAATTCATCGTGCAGCCTATACACTCAGCCAAGCCCTGCCTAGATTAGCTGTACACAGTGATTGTGCAAGCCTGTGAACATAAGAATAAGGACTTGCTATTGTATGGTACTGAGTTTAGGGGTGGTTTTTAGACATACTTACTATCATGGCAAAAGCTAACTAACATACATTAAAGCAGCAAGTCATAAGATAATAATGAACCTGAAAAGTTCACCAAAGAAAACTGGAAAACTACAAAGGGCCAAGGACTGTTAATGTAAAAAAAAAAAAAAGGCAGCAAAGGAGATTATAGAGGAGTGGCCAACAAGGAGGGAGGACCAGTAGAAAACAAGTAAGTGTTTTTCAAGCCGTTACCAACTATGTTAAATGCTACAGAGAAGCAACTCAAGACAAGAACTACTAGACATTACGACCACGCACACTTCGCCACGCTCACACTCACTACAGCCTTAATCACAATCACACACATCACACATTTCATCATAATCACGCGCAACCAAACATCACAATCACCCATCGCAATTATTCGTGCCGTCACACACACACATAACCACAGCCCCACACTAACTCTCATCACAATTTTTTGTCCCAACATCTGAACCACTCACCAGTAGCGTACTCTGAACACTCCCCCCGCAGCTACTCGGGACACTCTAGGCCTAAGAGGCGTCGTAACCAGTCAGCCGCCCACGGCTGGTGCACTCCAGACCGTTCGAGTCCCTCGCTTGCCCCGCGCTGCGGGGACTCGGCAGCGTCATCTGCCGGAAACGCCCAAATGCCCAGCCAGAGCGCAGTTTCTGAGATGCTGGTTGAAGGCGACCCGCAGATAGGTCCGGAACAGACGCCTAAAACTCCGAACCATCCCTTCGCGTCCGCGACGTTTCCGAGGACAACACCTCCCAGCAGGCCCCGCGGCCCCACTCAACTTCCGTCCAGAACGCACGTGCGTTTCCTGTGTGAAGGTAAGGCGTGGGCCAGGTTCCCCGGGAGACTCAGCTCCATTGCTCAGCGCTACGGCGACCTGCAACTCTGAAGCTCGGCTGGATGCTGAGAGTTGTAGGAGCAGCCGTTTCGGGTGGGCCCAGGAGAGGAACGGACAGGAATCGGCGTGGGTCCCGCGCTGGACTACATTTCCCAGAGGGCCTGGTGGCCGTCCACTTTTCTCGCAGGAATTCGAACGTTTCATCACGCCTGGCGGGACCCTTAGATCTGGGAGGTGAGTTATTTTGGTCAGCAGGAGAAACTGACTCAGGTCTGCAAGAGCTTAGGTGAGGATATCTAAGGCCAGTGGGGAGCTGGCGCCTTGGTCCTGTGCGGACCGAGCGGCCTGAAAAAGGGAGGTTGTGGAATTGTCTGGGAACTAATAACACTGCGGCTTATGTGTGGATATGGGATACCGGTCACTGCAGGGGTTGTGGCTGTGTGTTCCCGTGGTGGTGTGTGATTGTGACTCTGCGACAGTGTGGGGTGCCTCCGACTGTGCAGCTGTTATTGTGTGTTTCCCATGGTGTGTATGTAATTGTAACTGTGTTGCCGTGTGTGGCTCCGTGTGTGCTGGTGAGATGTGCATGTTGCCTTAAGTGTGACTGTCCCTAAATATATGTGGCATTCTGTGTATGAATATAGGGTCCTGTCAATTGTGCTATTGTGACTTCAGAACTCTGTCTCTAGGAAACCTTTTTGAGGTCTGGTCACATTCCAACCCTGTACAGCAGTGAACAGAGCCTTTCCCCTGAGCCACTGGAGTAGGACAGGTTGCTCCATTCTCCTCTGATCTCCATTCCTCGTGTGTCGTGGGTAATGGAGCTGAGGAGGACGTCTTCCTTGACTAATTTAGGTACCAAGAAAAACCTGTTGTCTCACAGTTACTCTTTACTCTCCCAATTTTACCTTTCTCCAGGTGAGTGACCCAGAAGAGGAGGAAAGAATGCATGATGAACTTCTACAAGCAGTATCCAAGGTGTGTTGTGGTCTCCTCTTTTTCTTCTGAAAATTCTTGCTTAATAAATGACATTTAATTATAAGTCCCTATAATTTTCCCATCACAGAAAAGGATGGTTGTGCCACTTATGCTTGCCGAATTTTCTTCTCAAATATTTATTATGATTTAAAAATAAAAGGATGATTAATTTAGAGATCTTAAAAACACAGCATTACCAAGAAAAAATAAAATTTGGCCATTCAAATAATTAGTGTTAATATTTTAATGTATTTTCAAAAACCAAATTTTACTTAATTTACTTACCATTTTATGTTCTACATTTTTACTAAAAACGTGTCATAAATATTCTCCCATGTCTTCAAATGGTCTTGGGAAATAACATTTTTCTATATTTGAAAAAACTATGGTGTATATTTTTTTTCAAATCAGACATGCCAGACTTTTAAATCCTTATTTGAATATATATCTGTCCTTACAACCCCCCCCACCGGTTTGAATTTGGGTTTCCATGATTAATAATAAATTTGAACATATTCCATATGTTTATCAGTTTTTAGTGTTTCATCTTTAGTGACATGTCCATTCAAATCTTTACTCATATTTCTCTTGGAATAGCTCTTACTGATTTATACGAGTTATTTATGTAATCTGGGTCTCAGTCCTTTATTGATTATGTTTTCCTAATATTTGGACTGTTTCATCACTTCCTGTAAGATGATTTTATGATGTTCTATTTTTTAAAAGCTGAGTTTATCAATATTTTTCCTTTATGGTTAGTGCTTTTTGTATCTTATTTAATAAATCCTTCCCTGTCCCAAGGTCATGCAGATACTCCCTTATATTTATGCTTAAAGCCATGAGTTTTACTTTCATGTTTAAATATTTAATATACTTGCAGCTGGTTTTCGTGTATGTTATGAGGTAGGGGTCAGATTCTTCCCCTCCTTGTTAGTACCCAGTTTTTTCAGTACCATATATTGGAAGATCTATTGTATTTTCATTGGTCGTCAAATATACCTAGTGTTTATATGTGCATGGGTATATTTATGAACTCTTTATTCTCTTCCATTGATTTTGTATATTTATATGCCAGTATCATACAGTCTTGATTTAGCTCTTCTCCTTTGATGGTAATCTGTCTTGTCTTCCTCTGACTGTTCTGTTTTTGGCTTTCTGTAATTTTAGTATAAGATATATATTTATGTGTTTTATTTATCTGGTTGGGATTTGTAGAGTTTTAAAATTTATGGATGAATGTCTATTATTAGTTCAGGAAAATCTTCACTCATTATCCCTTTAAAAAGCCCCCACTATCATTCTCTCTCCCTTTCTTTCTCAGGTTCTAAATAAACATTTACAGGTTAGAATTTCTTGTTCTTTTCTGTGTCTTATCCCTTTATGATAAAAAAGAACTTGCCTCATCTCAGGAGGGGCAGTGGGCATGGCAGGCAACTAGAAGTTTTGGATTCTTCTTCCAAGTGATAATAAAAATACCTTTATTCAATTGTGTTTCAACACTTCTAATCTTGGGGAACTCACTAAATTATAAGGTTATCCATTCAGTAGATGATCACTTTATCTGAGAATTAGAGGATACATATTAGGATAGAGGACTCAGAATAGGGACAATGTTTTCTTAAGGTGTAAATCTGGAACTCTGGGTGGGCCTACTCTCAATTTTTAAATTGTATGTGTCTGGTACAGATGCAAAGAAAATAAGAATAAATCTAACAAACCTATTTTGTGTAAGGCCTTTCTATCTGAATTTCTTTTAAAGAGGACTGAGTCTTCCCTCTCCTGTACCACAGCCCAATGTGTGTCCTTTTTTAAACAACCAATTCTTGGGACACTAACTGAGTATCCTACAATTCAGTTGAATTCGGACACTACCTAGAGTTAACACAGACCCCATTGGTTAGGAGCCTCAGTCCCAGCTGTCGTGCCTCTAATCCCAGGACTTTGGGAAGAGATGGGCAGATCACTTGAGGTCAGGAGTTCGAGACCAACATGAGCAGCATGGCGAAACCCTGTCTCTACTAAAAATACAAAAATTAGTTGGAGGTGGTGACCATCGCTTCTAATCACAGCTACTTGGGAGGCTGAGGCAGGTGAATCTCTTGAACCTGGGAGGTGGAGGTTGCGGTGAGCTGAGAGTGTACCACTGCACTTCAGCCTGGACGATAAGAGTGAAACTCCATCTCAAAAAAAAAAATCCCCCAAATTCAAGAAATGTGAAAAGACCTGAAAAATGGCAGGGCATTGTCCCACTATCCAGTCCTACTCCCCTTAAGTGGCTACTTTAAACTCTTTTTGCTGTTTCTCTTGGCATTTTTCCTTTATTTCTAATTAATATTTCTATATTGCTGTTGTTGGATACATATTTTCTAGTGATTTCTAGGCAGGCAAATGTGGATTAAGATTTCCCATACCACAGTCCTCATTTTTTGTCCATGCAATAGAATTATATGACAACTTTTCTTTACATTATTGCTATCCCTGTGATTAGGACTTTGCAGATATTCCTTTTTTTTTTTTTTTTTTAGGTCAAGATGATTTTATTGTCCAAATAGCATAACCTAATTGCATTCAAAACCGGTTTTCAATCACACTGAATTGGCAGGACAAGAAAAATAGGTCAGATAAATATGGGATGGTAGTTGAAGGGAGGTGAAGAGGCTGCTTCTCTGTGAGGTGAAATTGCAGATATTCTTAATGTGAGCCAAGTAAAACACCAGATCCTGGATTTTTTCTAGTACAATTTGTATTTTTCTCAAAGCAAATTGCCTTGTTTCTTCTTTTACTTGGTTTTATGTATGTGTTACTATTTTTTTTTCAAATTCTCTAACATTGCTGTCAGTTGCCTATCAGTATTTTCTGCATGATCAAACATACTAGTTCCTTATTTTTCTTTGGAGACGTCTTTCCTGTAGTCCTCATGTCTTGTGTTCCTAGATGCTGTTCTCTCACTCTGCTGTCATAAATGTTCTAGGATTTGCCTTTTATAATTATACTGGCCTTTGGATCACCATTTTCATGTTAGTTTTCCAGTTTCTTAATATAATACCTTTTCTTTTTTCTAATTTGCTGTCTAGTTTTTCGGGTTTTTTTTTTCTTTTTTTTTGCGTTATGAGAAAATATTCTCTCTAGTTTTGACGGAAAAGGTAGCCCAGTAGCTTCCTAAGAATAGCCACATTGAGCCGGGCGCGGTGGCTCACGCCTATAATCCCAGCACTTTGGGAGGCTGAGGCCGGTGGATCACGAGGTCAAGAGATCGAGACCATCCTGGTCAACAAGGTGAAACCCCGTCTCTACTAAAAATACAAAAATCAGCAGGGCATGGTGGTACGCGCCTGTAGTCCCAGCTACTCGGGAGGCTGAGGCAGGAGAATTGCTTGAACCCAGGAGGCGGAGGTTGCGGTGAGCCAAGACCGTGCCATTACTCTCCAGCCTGGATAACAATAGCGAAAGTCTGTCTCAAAAAAAAAAAAAAAAAAAGAAAAACCACATTGGAAATACTTTTATTATTCCCTGCAGATCTAAAATTGTCTTGATTTAATCTTAATAGTGGTTTAGGAATTTGACTGGATATAGAATTTTAGGTCAGAATTCGGTTTCCTTTATAATATTAAAGGAATTGCTTTCTTTTTTTCTTATTTCAAATGATGCTATTGAGAAGTCTATTGCCATTGTGATTCCTGAAAACTTAGGTGATCTTTGTTTTCTTCCTGGAAGCTTTTGGAAATGTTTATTTTTGTTTTTCTCTGATGCTGTGAATTTTTGAATTCCTCTGATGTTTGAAAGTCCCTCCCATTTTCCCCTCTCTTGGGACTTATAAAGGGAAAGGGGGAGAGGGAAGAAACTCACTAATAGAACTGAATGCTTGCTATTTCATATCACTGGAAAAGTCCAGTCTATCTGTACATCCCTTTGTACACAGGATATATATATCTTCTGATTTGACAGGATCCACCTCCTTTAATTCACTTACTCTGTCCTTTCTTGCAGAGGCTTCTGTCACCTCTACCACCATCTTTTTGTTTTTTCCTTTCATTGTGAAAGCGTATTTGTTGTTTCAGGGGTCAGTGATGTTCAGGGATGTGTCCATAGACTTCTCTCAAGAGGAATGGGAATGCCTGGACTCTGGTCAGATGAATTTATACAAAGAAGTGATGTTGGAGAATTTCAGCAACCTGGTTTCAGTGGGTAAGGATAACTATCCCCAAAATTCAGAGTCCACCCTTGGAAAATCTCTCCTTTCTCCATTGTTAATTATTTGCTTCATGTAACTAGCTGAATTTCTGCTCCCTGTTCACCAAGGAATGGTTTGAGTTGGAATGGAATGGAAGAGTTGGAAGTGGGCAGCCCTAATGGACTGTGGCTGAAGCTTCATCTTCTCCATCTTTCTCTGGTCCTTCTTGTAATGGCATCTCTTCTTTGATCACCAAGAGACTGGATCTGATTTCTGGGGAGCCCAAAGCATAACCATGTCTCATGTCTTTTCTTGTGAGCAGGACTTTCCAGTTCTAAGCCTGCTGTGATCTCCTTATTGGAACAAGGAAGAGAGCCCTGGATGGTTGACAGAGAGTTGACTAGAGGCCTATGTTCAGGTAAGTAAGAGATGATGGCTCAGGCGCAGGGCTATGAGGAGATATACATCTGAGATTTTATCAAGAAGCTCCCTTTAAAAGCCTGAGGCCTCTTCCATATAAGCTATCCTACCTTTTTTTCCTCATGCTTTCTCCCTAGTCCAGTATAGCAAGTACCTTCCTGACTGTAATTATGCTATAATTATTATGCTCACATTTTAGGTTTCATTCCTTCTATGATATGCTACATTTAGACTGGTATAAAAGTAGACATTTCCACCCTAAGAAATAGGTGAGTGTAAGTGTGTGTGTGTTTGTGTGTGTATGTATGTGTGTATATGTGTGTCTTTTCTTTTTCCTTCCCTATACTTGTTTTCGTTTTATCTGCTTTTAATTATTTAATATCTTTGACCAGTTTGTTCTGGATTTAATAGTTCATTCTTTCATTTATCAAACATTTGATTACTTTTTATTTTTAAAAAAAATTGAAGTATAACATATGCGCAGAAAACTACATGACTATGATTGCATAGCATGGTGAAATTGAGAATGGTGAAACCACTACTCAGGACAAGAAATAGAACATTACTAGCACCTCAGAACCCCTTCTCTGCTCCTTCCCAATCACCAGCCTCTTTTTCCTCTCCCAAAATAAATACCATCTGACATTTAGCACCATGGATTTGTTTTGTCTATTGTTGAACTTTATATAGATGCAGTCACACAGTATTTAGTCTTTTGTCTTTGGCTTTTTTTGTTCAACATTATGTTTATGAGACATATCTGTGATGTTGCATATATCTAGTTTTAGTTCATTATTATTGGCTATGTTGTATTTCATTCTATCTATATATATATATATATATATATATACACACACATATATATATACTTATATACACGTATATATACACACACATATATATACACATATACACACACACACACACACACACACATATATATATATATATATATATATATATACATACAGGTATATATTTATAATTTTTTTTTTTGAGATGGAGTCTTGCTTGTTGCCCAGGCTGGAGTGCAGTGGTGTGATCTCGGCTCACTGCAACCTCCATCTCTCAGATTCAAGCAATTCTTCAGCCTCAGCCTCCTGAGTAGCTGGGACTACAGGCCTGCGCCACCATGCCGAGCAAATTTTTTTTAGTAGGGACAGGGTTTCACCATGTTGCCCAGGCTGGTCTCAAACTCCTGACCTCAGGTGATCCACCTACCTCGGCCTCCCAATGTGCTGGGATTACAGGCATGAGCCACTGCACCCTGCTTCATTCTATGAATATGTTTTAAATTATGCTTTATATATTATTAATTACTATAAATTAAGTGTTCTTTCTCGTGTTGACAGCTGGTTTGTTGGCAGTTTTTAGCTATTACATATAATGCTGCTGTGAAGGTTCCTGTATGTACCTTTTGGTAAATGTGTACACATTTCTTTTGGGTATATACATAGGAGTGGAATTACTGAACAATAGGATATGTGTGTGTGCAGTTTTAGTAAATATACCAATTTTCCAAAGTAGTTGTACCAATTTGCCGTTCTACTAGCAGTATGAAAGTTGCCATTGCTCTGCATTCTTACATTCTTACCAGTTCTTATTATTGCCAGACCTGTTAATTTTAGTTAAATTTTAGTTACTCTGTGTGTGTTCTGTGACATGCCTGTTTAAGTTTCTTGGCTAAACTTAGTTGGTCATCTTTTTTTTTTTTTTTAATTGCTTTGAAAGAATTCTTTTTATATTCTATATATTAACCATGTGTTTGGTTACATATGATGTAAATATCTCTCATCACTTTATATCTTGCCTTTTATTCTTTTAATGGTGTCTTTTGATGAACAGAAATTATTAATTTTAATGTGGTCACAGTTATCTTTTTCTTTATAGTGTGGCTTTTTTGTGAGTCCTGGGTAGGAATGATTGCCTACCCAAAGGTCATGAAGATATTTCCTATGTTATATTCTAGTAGCTTTATTGTTCTACTTTTTCCATTTAGATCTAGTTTCCTGAAGTTGGTATTTGTATGTGTTGTGAGGTAGGGGTCAAATTTCATTTTTTTGCCATGTGAATATCCAGTTGACTTCTTAGTATTTATTGAGATGACTGTCCTTTTCCCATTCTCTGTAGGACTACCTTTGTCATAAATCCTGTGTCTGTGAGTCTATCTCTGATTTCTGTTCCTTTGGCTTATTTGTTTATCCTTGTGCCAATACCACACTATATTAATACTGCAGCATGTAATAAATCTTATCTAGTAGAGCAAGTTCTCCTGCTGCTTCTTAGTGCTTTGCATTTTCTTATTTTTTTTTTTGAGACGGAGTTTCGCTCTTGTTACCCAGGCTGGAGTGCAATGGCGTGATCTCGGCTCACGCAACCTCTGCCTCCTGGGTTCAGCCTCCTGAGTAGCTGGGATCACAGGCACGTGCCATCATGCCCAGCTAATATTTTGTATTTTTAGTATAGACGGAGTTTCACCAAGTTGACCAGATGGTCTCGATCTCCTGACCTCGTGATCCACCCACCTTGGCCTCCCAAAGTGCTGGGATTACAGGCTTAAGCCACCGTGCCTGGCCAAGTTAATTTTTTTTTTTTTTTTTTTTTTTTATCACACAAAAGTTTTTAGTTTATTAATAAGCTTCTCGTGAAAAATCCACAACGGCCATGGATAACATCATTGCGGCACCTTTTACTCCTTCGGCTTTTTGCCAGCACCAACATTGGCCTTTGCAGTCCCCCTGACTTTCTTCATTCTGTTCTTGCGTTCCTTTCGTTGCTTTCTTGAGGTCTTCTTCTTCTCATACAGGCCATGTCTTGCAAGTCTATGTTTGGGTTCATTTTTCTTTGCATAATCCAGGGAATCATAAATCATGCCAAAGCCAGTTGTCTTGCCACCACCAAAATGAGTTCTGAATCCAAATACAAAAATGACATCCGGTGTGGTCTTGTACATTTTAGCTAGTTTTTCCCGAATTTCTGTCTTAGGCACTGTTGCCTTCCCGGGGTGAAGGACATCAATGACCATTTGTTTCCTCTGAAGTAGTCGGTTGGTCATGAACTTTCTAGTGCGGATAGTTACTGTGTCGTTCATGATGGCGGCCTATCCTTAGACAGCCGAGGAGGAAAAGCAAGTTAATTTTTTTATATGGTGAGAGATACAGTCTAGTTTCATTCTTCTGTATGTGGATATCCAGTTTTTCCAGCACCATTTATTGAACAGGATGTCCTTTTCCTAATGTCTGTTCTTGGCACCTTTGTCAACCATCAGTTGACTATAAATACATGGATTTATTTGTGAGTTCGCTCTTCCGTTCCATTGGTCTATAAGTCTGTTTTTATGACAGTCATGCTGTTTTTGGTTACTACAGCTTTGTGGTATATTTCAAAGTTTGATTCTTCCACTTTGTTCTTTTGCTATAGATTGCATTGGCTATTTGGGATCTTTTGTGGTTCCCTACAAATTTTAGGATTTTTTTCCTGCTTAAGTAAAACTGACTGGTATTTCAGTAGGGATGGTATTGAATCTGTAGATTACATTGAATCTGTAGATTGCTTTGGAAAGTATGTCCATTTTAACAATAGTTCTTCCACTGCATGAGCATGCAAATATCTTTTTATTTGTTTATGTTGTCTTCAATTTCTTTAGACTGTGTTTTGCACTTTTTGTTGTAGAGGTCTTTCACTTCATAGTTAAATTTGCTTCGAGGTTATTCTTATAACTATTATATTAATAAATGGGATTGTTTTCTTGATTTAATTTTCAGCAAGTTCATTGTGGACATACAGAAATATTTGTTTTTTTGAGACAGAGTTTCACTCTGTTGCCCAGGCTGGAGTGCAGTGGCACAGTCTTGGCTCACTGCAGCTTCTGCCTCTTGGGTTCAAGCAGTTCTCTTGTCTCAGCCTCCTGAGTATGTGGGACCACAGGAGTGTGCCACCACACCCGGCCAATTTTTGTATTTTTAGTTGAGACAAGGTTTCAGCATATTGGCCAGGCTGCTGTCAAACTCATGACCTCAAGTGATCCACCCACCTCGGCCTCCCAAAGTGCTGGGATTATAGGCGTGAGCCACTGTGCCCAGCCTACTACTTATATTTGTATATTGATTTTGTATCTTGCAACTTTACTGATTTCATTGATCAGTTCCAAGAATTTTTGCATCTTTAGGTTTTTATATATATGTAAGATCATGTCATCTGTAAAGGGACAGTTTGACTTTCTGTTATCCAATGCGGATGCCTTATATTTCTTTCTCTTGCCTGGTTGTTCTGGATACAACTTCCAGTACTATATTGAATAATAGTGGTGAATGTGGGCTTCTCTGTCTTCTTCCAGTTCTTAGAGGAAAGGCTTTCAGCTTTTTCCCATTCAGTAAGGCGTTAGCTGTAGATTTGTCATATATGGCCTTTATTAATGTTTAGGTATGTCTTTTAATTCCTGATTTTTGAAAGGTTTTTATAATGAAGATATGTTGAACTTCATCAAATGCTTTCTGTGCATCTATTGAGCTGATCATATAGTCTTTGTCCCTCATCATGTTGATATGATGCATCCTGTTTATTGATTTGCTTATGTTGAACCATCCTTGCATTTTAAGGAAAAATCTGACTTAATTGTGAGATATTATCTTTTGGTTTCATTTGCTAGTGTTTGATTGAGGGGTTTTATGTCTCTTTTCATGAGGGCTATTGACCTGTAGTTTTGTTGTTGTTGTGTCCCTCTCTGGTTTTGGTATTAGGGTAATGCTGACCTTGTAGAATGGATTAGGAAGAATTCACTCCTATTCTATGTTTTGGGATAGTTTGAGAAAAATTGAGGTTAGTTCTTTGTAATTTTGGTAAGATTCAACAGTAAAGCCATTTAGTCTTGGGCTTTTCTTTGTTGGGAGACATTTTATCACTGCTTCAATCTCATTATTCGTTACTGGTCTGCTCAGGTTCTTCTGCTCATTTCTCCCTGGTTCAATCTTGGTAGGTTTATGTATCCAGGAATTTTTCTTGTTTTTTGATTATCTGATTTGTTAGCATATGGTTGCTTATAATAGTCTTTGATGATCTGTATTTTTTTTTTTTTTTTACAGTCCAGAGGTCTTTTATTTATTTATTTTTAACACCTATTATGCCATGAATTCATAGGGAATAGGTTCCAGCAGCTCAGGCTCCTTCCCGTTGGTTCTCACAAAGTGTGCTTCTCTGGGTGGAGCAGGCTGTCGCTTCAGTTGGACCCAGGTACCTCTCTCTTTGGCTTCCTTCTTTTTCTGATCATTTTCCTTCACACGTTTTAGGAAGCTATCTCGGCTTTTAGAGTGCTTGATGTGCTCAATACGCACATTAATTCTCTTGGCAAGAATCTTGCCCTTAACTTGTTTGTTTACAACAATGCCAACAGCATGCTGGGTAACATTGTAGACTCTTCCAATTTTGCCATGATAATATTTGTGGGGCATTCCTTTTTGAACAGTACCCATTCCCTTGATGTCTACAATATCACCTTTCTTATAGATTCGCATATACGTGGCCAAAGGAACAACTCCATGTTTACTAAAAGGCCTAGAGAACATGTATCGAGTGCCTGTCCTCTTTCCCTTTGTGTTCATCATTTTGGCGAATTACTGGAAGATGGCGGTTCCGGCCGAAAGGAAAGGCGATCTGTAATTTCTTAATTGACCTAGTGGGCACTCATGAGAAAGCACGTTGTTTAATTTCCATGTATTTGTGTGGTTTACAAAGTTTTTGTTACTGATTTCTAGGTTTATTCTTGTATAGTCTGAGAAGATACTTGGTATGATTTCGATTTTAAAAAACTAGTTGTGACTTGTCTTATGGCCTAACATATGATCTCTTCCTGGAGGATGTTCCATTTGCTCATGGGAACACTGTGTATTCTGCAGCTATTGGATAAAATGTTCAGTTAGTGTCTGGTAGGTCCATTTGGTCTAATGTCCAGTTTAAATCCAATACTACTGATTTTCTGTCTAGATGAACTGTCTAATACTGAGAGTGGGATGTTGAAGTCCCCTACTCTTATTTTATGGGACTCTATCTTTTTTTTCTGGACACAGAGCCTTACTCTGTTGCCCAGGCTAGAGTGCAGTGGTGCAACACTGGCTCACTACAACCTCCACCTCTCCGGTTCAAGCAATTCTGCCTCAGCCTCCTGAGTTGCTGGGATTGCAGGTGTGTGCCACCACATCTGGCTAATTTTTGTATTTTTATTACAGATGGGGTTTCACCATATTGGCAAGGCTAGTCTTGAACTGCTGACCTCAACAGATCTGTGTGCCTCAGCCTCCCAAAGTATTGGGACTACAGGCATGAGCTACTGTGACCAGCCCTATCTCGTTTTTTAGATCTAGTAATATTTGCTTATATATCTGGGTGCTGCAGTGTTGGGTACCTATACATGAAGAACTTTATTTCTTCTTGCTGAATTGATCCCGTTACCATTATATAATGACCTTCTTTGTCTCTTTTGCAGTTTTTTTACTTAACATCTGTTTTATTTAAGTATAGTTACTCTTACTTGCTTTTGGTTTCTGTTTGTGTGCAGTAATTTTTTTTCATTTCTTCACTTTTAGTCTGTGATTTTATAAAGTTTCTCACAGCCAGTATGCAGGTGGATAATATTTATTTTATCCATTCAACCAGACTCTGTTTTTTAAGTGGGGAAATTGACTATTTACATTCAAGGTTATTACTAATAGGTGAGGATTTATTCTTATTCTGTTAATTTTTTTTGGTTGTTTTATATAACCTTTTTCTTTTCTCTGATCATTTGGTTTGGGGGCTTTATGTAATGGTTATACTTGAGTCCTTTCTTTTTCCATTTTGTATATCTGCTCTACCAGTGAACTTATTTTCATTTGTTTAATGATGGTAGATATTTTATTCACTTCCAGATGTAGGACAGCCTTTACCATTTTTGATAGGGCTACCTTAATTGTGATAAATGTTCTTTGTTTTTGCTTCTCTGGGAAAAACTGTTTCTCCTTCATTTTTGAAGGATGGCTTTGCTAGGTATACTAATCTTGACTAACACTGTTTTTCCTTTCAGCATTTCAAATATATCATTCCATTCTTTTCTGGCATGGAAGGTTTCTGCCAAGGTATCTGCTACTAGTCTGATGAGGGTTCCCTTACATATGACTTGACGCCTTTCTCTTGCATTTTTAAGAATTCTCTCTTTGTCTTTGACTTTTGACAGTTTGACTGTAATGGGCTTTGGAAGACCTTTTTGGATTGAATCTATTTGGGCATATTGAGCCTCCTGCATCAGGATGTCTATATTGCTTACAAGACTTGGAAAGTTTTCAGTTATTATTTTATTAAATAGGTTTTTATGCCTTTGCCCATCTCTTCTCCTTCTGGAACACCCAAACTTTGCATACTTTGTTACTTTCTGGTATCCCATATGTCACCTAAGCTTTCTTCAGTTTTAAAAATTCCTTATTAATTTTTACTTTTGACTTCCTGGGTTCTTTCAAAACACCTGTCTTTAAGTTCAGAAATTCTTTCCTCTGCTTGATCTAGTCTATTGTTGAAGCTCTCAATTGTTTTTTATTTCATTCATCGAAATTCTTCAGTTTTAGGACTTCTGTTTGGTTCTTTTTCATCACCTCTATCTGCTGAATTTCTCATTCAGATCATGAATTGTTTTTTCTGATTCTTTTGGTATTTATCCATGTTCTGTTGTATCCTACTGAGTTTCTTTAATGTCATTATTTTGAATTCTTTTTTAGGAACTTGATAGATTTCTTGTTTGTTGGACTCTGTTGCTGGAGCGTTATTGTGTTACTTTGGAGATGTCATGTCTATGCTTTTTCATGTTTCTTTATCCTAACATTGATATCTGTGTATTTTTTGTTATGGTCATTTTTTCCAATTTTATGGATTTGTTTTCATAGGAAAACGTTTTTCCTGTAGATATATTTATAGTGGTGGTTGGGTAGGTTGCTTTGGGTTTGTTCTAGGTGGGTACAGTGGTATAATCTCCATATAATTTCTTTGGCTGTAATGAGTGTCAGCATTATCTATGAGTTCCTCAGTGGCTTAGGGTTTGGTTGTTAGTAGAAGCTGTGATGAGGCTTTTCTGGGATAGGTACACCAGACACCAGCTGGGCTGGTCCATAGGCCCTAGTGGTGGTGTTGGTGATGGCCTGGGCATACCGGTTCATGGGGTATCAGGTGGTGTATTCAGGCACTGGTGGTAGCTGCTCCATGCAGGTTGATCTCTGGGCCTCCAGGTTGCTTGCTCAGGTGCTAGCAGTAGTAGCAGTGGGCCAGGAAGGTGGGCAGGTCCTTGGGCTCCTCTTTGGCATGTATGGCATTGATTATGACAGTAGCAGTAGTTGACCAACTGTTTGGGCTTTGAAGCAACATATGCAGGTACCAGCAGTGGCAATGCCAGTCTGGATGGGCTAGTCCCTGTTCCTCTAGGTGGTGTGTACATTTTGGTGCTTGCATTGGTGGTGGCAGCAGGCTGGGACAACCTGTCTTCAGGTTGCTGGCAGGTGTGCATGGATGCTAGTGATGGTGGATGGACCGAGTCACTCCGGGCTCCCAAACAATAGATGGTGAGCACTGGCAGGCAAAAGGAGCCCATACTTAGGCCCTCAGAAGATATGTGCAGGCATTTGTGGCAATGTGAGGAGCGAATTCATCCCCACACCCCTGGATATTGCATACAGCAGTGGCAGGGGCAGCATCAGGCATGGCAACCCTGTCTTCTCACCCTGCCAGTGGTACACATGGATTCAAGCTGTGGTGGTAGGGTGTGTTAATTCCCATGCCCCTAGATGGCATGCTCAGGTCCTGGTCACAGACTGGCTCTGCCTTTCCTCATTGTGGGTATTGTGCATGTGGGCACCAGCAACGGCCGGCAAGGTGTGTCCATTCCCAGACTCTCAGATAATGTGCTAAGGCAGCAGCTTTGGTGGGCCAGGTAGGCTTGATGTCAGGCCCTTTGATGCAGATCAGCACTAGTCTTAAGGGCCCCTGAAGGCACTTGCAGATGTATAGGGACCCAGCTGCCTGGGAGCAGTGGTATTCCTGTCAGTGGCAGTGGCCCCATGCAGGTGGCTCTCAGGCTCTGGGGAGCACACACTTCAGCTCCCTCTGCCCCAAGAGCAGCCTCTGACTGCTGTACCGCTCATTCCCCAGGGTGTAGGACTCTGAGTGCTGGACTGGAGTACTGGGGACCTAGACACACTGATGGTTCCAGCCACCATTGCAGTGCTTTAGCCCTCTATGTGGACATGGGGGGAAACCAGCAGAGCTCAATGGATGTAGAGATGAAGGAACTGTTGGGTCCCAGGGGAGGATGTAGTCTGTTAGGGTCTGGGATCCCAAAATGGCACTGTGCTGCAGTTGCTTGGGTTTGTGGGAGGGACCCAGCATGAACTCCCTATCTAGAATAGTGATGTGTAGATAGATACTGGGTAGCTCCCTTTACTAGTCTTAGGGCCCATGAGGGCTGAGGGGCTGTTTTGTGGCTAGGATTGCAGGAGTCCACAGTGGGAATATGGTCTCCCTTACCTTTCCCCTACACTCTTGAATCCAAGCTGATCCTGGTAAGGCCAGCTGTTTTGCTTCCCTCTTTGTGCCTCAGAGGTTCCCTGTTACTTCCCTGCTGAATTCCAGTGTTCTGTCATAGATGCTCAGTTTGGTGTGTGATCATCTACTCGCTGTTTTAGTTCTTCTTTGTGGAGGAGGTAAATGCTGGGTGCCTCTAGTCGTCCATCTTGAAACCCCATTCTAAAAATGTATTCTTGAGAACAATAAATCTAAATTCATTTATTGCCTCAGTAATTCTTTAGGTAGTTTGCCAGGAGGTGAGTATGTATTAGTGAAAATATCAAACATTTCTTGATTTCATTGGATCTGTGCAGATTATATAATGTTATAAATATTGATAAATATTAATAAATATTAATATAAATATTAATAGCACTTATAAATAATAAGTGCTATTAATAAGAAATAGAAAGATCTGAGTCCTAATAACAGGAAGACCATAATTTAGACTGAAGATCAGTTATGGCCTTCTAGAGATATGCTGTTTGAGCAGAGGCTCAAATGATTAGCAGCAATTAGCAAGTCTAGGAAAGAGGGGATTCAATATAATAATTAAATAAAGACAACTTCAAGAGATTTCTAGGGATGCGCCCAGACTAAGTTTGGCCAATGATTGTGTGGCTGGAGGACTTAAGATAGTCTAGCTGGCTTTATTTTGACATCTTCAAGCCATTTCATTTGCCCATTATCTCTGTTTTTGCTATGACATTCTTTCATAATAATAGCTACCAGTACTGAGTGCTTACTTGATATTAGATTATTTACATACTTAAGGTTTCTCACCAGTATGCCTTCTCTGATGCTGAATAAGCCTCGAGTGTTGAGTAATAGTCTAGCTCATTCCTTATCTTTTTAGCAATCATGAGTTAAGTGTCATTCCCATTTTAACAAACAAGAAAAAGAGGTTTTTTGCCTTATACATAGAACTGGGGCTCACTGTTCATATGTTGACGTGGAGTTCCTTCCTTCTCATAGAGTACATTTCATCCTGTCTTAACTCTCTTCCGTCTCAAGCTTGAGCCACCTTTCTTCTCAGTCACTGCCATGACTTGGATGATTCATTTCTTTCTCCCGAGGTCAACATCACAGAATTGCAGAGCAAATTATTTTCAGTGAGTCCCTAACCCATATCATCCTGTATGCACAGAAGAGATTTATCTGTCTACTCTCCCCACCAGTTGTGTTCAGCATACTAGATTTGTGGGAGGCTAACGATTTTTCACTGAATTCAACCCACCCCGCCATTTAAACCTATCAACACATTTATTATTCTTAATAGCCCTTTTATATAGGTCTGACAATTATCTACAAATTGTAAAACATAACAGTATTGTGCCCTGTGTATGTGAGTATATATTTATACACATGTATATATAATTATAATCTCTCTGCCCTGGAACAGAGGCAGCATCCTGCTGGCCTGTCTCCTCCATTACCCTCCAGCTGAACCCCTGCCTGGCCATGCTGCTGATGGCCTTGCAGTCGGAGCTCTACAAGGTGTATAATGAGGAGACACAGAGCTGGGTCTCAGGCAGCGCCTGCAGGCAAAGAAAAATTAAAAAAGAAATTAGAATCTATCTATAATATGGAGGATGAGCCTGAACAGTGTGTATTCACCAAGGGGTAAGGTGACTCTGGTTCAGAACAACATTTAAGGCTCATAGAGGTCATCTGCTTCCTGAATCCACATCCTCAGCTTCTTTTATTACCTTCCTAATGTCTGTGCTTTTCTTGTCAATTTTACAGATTGCCTAGCCACCTTTGAAAATGAAGTGTGTTAATTTCCCAGATATTCTTTTCAGTTTAATCCTCCTATTTCTTTTTTAGAAGTTTTAACTTGCCCAGAATAGGAAAATTTATTTGCCTTTTAATTTTCTTTCAGATCTGGAATCAATGTGTGAGACCAAGATACTATCTCTAAAGCAGAGACATTTCAGTCAAGTAACACTTACCCATGAAGACATGACTACTTTCATTCAGCCCACATTTCTTACTCCACCTCAAAAAACTATGAGTGAAGAGAAACAGTGGGAATGTAGGAGATGTGGAAAGACCTTTAATCAGAACTCACAATTTATTCAACATCAGAGAATTCATTTGGGTGAAAAACCCTATGACTATAAGGAGTGTGGGAAGTCCTTTAGTTATGGCTCACTCGTTACTCGACATGAGGGGATTCGCACTGGTGAGAAACCCTATGAATGTAAGGAATGTGGCAAGGCTTTTAGTTGTAGCTCGTATTTTTCTCAACATCAGAGGATTCACACTGGTGAGAAACCCTATGAATGTAAGGAATGTGGAAAAGCTTTTAATTATTGCTCAAACCTTAAGGATCATCAGAGGATTCACACTGGTGAGAAACCCTATGAATGTAAAGTATGTGGAAAAGCCTTTACTAAAAGTTCACAACTTTTTCTACATCTGAGAATTCATACTGGTGAGAAGCCTTATGAATGTAAAGAATGTGGGAAAGCCTTTACTCAACACTCAAGGCTTATTCAGCATCGGAGAATGCATACTGGTGAGAAACCTTATGAATGTAAGCAGTGTGGGAAGGCCTTTAATAGTGCCTCAACACTTACTAACCATCACAGAATTCATGCTGGTAAGAAGCTCTATGAATGCGAAAAATGTAGAAAGGCCTTTGTTCAGAGCTCAGAACTTATTCAACATCAGAGAATCCATACAGATGAAAAACCATATGAATGTAATAAATGTGGGAAGGCCTTTAATAAAGGCTCAAACCTTACTAGACATCAGAGAATTCACACTGGTGAGAAACCCTATGACTGTAAGGAATGTGGAAAAGCTTTTGGTAGTCGCTCTGACCTCATTCGCCATGAAGGAATTCATACTGGTTGAATGATAGAAACTAAAGACCCTTTTGTTAACCTTTATAATAAGATTTTTTTAAAACAGTTAATGAGAACAAGTTAGGGTACACATTATCAAAGGTTCTCCTATGTATTAGTTTTTAAAGGATACCTTAACAAAGTACCAAGTACCAAAAACTTGCTGGCTTATAATGAGAAATTTATTCTCTTGCAGTTTGGAGCCTGGGAATCTAAAATCAAGGGTGCTGACAGTTTTGGTTCCTTATGAGGACTCTGAGCGAGGATCTGTTCTATGCCTTTCTCCTAACCTGTTAACAGCCGGCAGTCCTTGGCATTCCTTGGCTTTTACATACCTCATTCTAATCTCTGCTTCCATTTTCACATTGCATTCTCTCCGTATATCTTTGTGTATGTCTCTTATTTGGACACCAGTCGGATTAGATTGGGGTGACCTGGTGACCTCATCTTAACTTGATTACATCTGTCAAGACTGTATTTCCAAGTAAGGTCACATTTACAGGTACCAGGGCTTAGGACTTCAGCATCTCCTTTTAGGGGACACAGTTCAACTCAATAGCCTCCTAGCACTATTTTGTCTAATTTATTTTTAATTTCCTTTTATATATAAGTTGTTATTCAAATATATATTTTTTATTTTTTAATTTATTTTGAGACAGAGTGTCACTCTGTCCAGGCTGAAGTGCAGTTGTGCAGTCTCGGCTCACTACAACCTCCGGCTCCTGTCTATCCTCCCAAGTAGCTGGGATTACAGGCATGCACCATCATGCCCAGTTAATTTTGTGTATGTGTGTGTTTTTAGTAGAGACAGGGTTTCAGCACATTGCCCTGGCTGGTCTTTAACTCTGGACCTCAATGATCTGCCTGCCTCAGCCTCCCAAAGTGCTGGGATTACAGGCGTGAGCCACTGTGATGGCCAAAACAGACTTTAAACCAACACAAATTAAAAAGGACAAAGAAGATCATTTATAATGATAAAGGATAAATTCAACAAGAAGATAAAACAATCCTAAATATATATGCATTCAACAATGCAACACCCAGATCCATAATACAAATACTACTAGACCTAAGAAAAGAGATAGAGCAATACAACAATAGCAGGGAACTTCAACACTCCATGGACAGCAGTAGACAGGTCACTGGGACAGAAATCAACGGAGAAACTGTTATTTTTTAAAAAACGAAATCATATCTAATGTCTTCTCTGACCACAGTGGAATAAAACCTAGATATCAATACAAGAGGAACTCTCAAAACTATACAGATACATGGAATTTAAACAGCTTGCTCCTGAATAATTGTTGGGTCAATGATGAAACTAAGGCGGAAATTTCAAATTTTTTGAAATAAATGAAAATAGAGATAATACTCCAAAACATCCGAGATACAGCAAAAGCAGTGCTAAAAGAGGATTTTATAGCATTAAATGCCTACACCCAAAAATAGAAAAATCTCAAATGAATAAACTAACATCACATCTCAAGGAAAAAAAATAAACCCAACTCAAAGCTAGCAGAAGGAAAGAAAACAAATACCACAGCAAGTGAAGATGAGACAAAGAACAAAAGAACATAAAAAAAAGTTGGTTCTTTGAAAAGATAAAATTGATAGACTACTAGCTAGATTAACCAAGAAGAAAAGAAGATCCAAATAAATACAATCAGAAATGATACGGTGACATTATAACTGATACCACAGACATATGAAAAAATCAGGAGAGGCTATATGCAGAAATTAGAAAACCTAGAGGAAGTCGATAAATTCCTGGAAACATACAATCTTCCAAGATTGAACCAGGGAGAAATAGAAATCCTCAACAGACTACTAATGAGTATTGAAATTCAATCTGTAATGGAAAAAAACCTCACAACAACAACAAACCCTGGACCAGACAGATTTACAGCTGACCTCAGGCAGGCTGATCACCTGAGGTCAGTTCGAGCTTGGCTAACATGGTGAAACCCTGTCTCTACTAAAAATACAAAAATTGGCTGGGCATGGTGGCAGGTGCCCATAGTCACAGCTACTCGGGAAGCTGAGGCAGGAGAATTGCTTGAATGTGGGAAGTAGAGGTTGCAGTGAGCCGGGATTGTGCCATTGCACTCCAGCTAGGGGACAACAGAAGGAGATTCCATCTCAAAAGAAAAGATACTTCCTATTGAGTACAATGTACATTATTCAGGTAATGGGTACATTATAAGCTAACACTTTCCCTACTACACTATGTATGTAACACAACTGCCCTTGTAACTTCCTAAAACTATAAAATTTTTTTTAAAATTAGAAGCTAAACAATAAAAGACAAATTAAGAATGCTTCCTTAAAAGGTGAGGGCATTATGCTCATAAGTTACTATGGGTTTCAGAGTACAGAGTAGAGTAGAACACAAGAATTTGGTCTGGAATGTGGGAACAGAAAATGGGTATATACATTTTACTATAGTTAGATCCCTGGGTTGAGGAATGACCTGAGAGTACTGGATATTGTAGAGACAGATGTCTTCAGGGCAAAGAGATTAAGGATTTTAGCCTTGATGCTTTCACACTATATTGTGGTAGTAACACTGCAAGTGCTGGGAGATAGAACAGGAAACATCTTTCTAGGAATATGCATACTAATAAATGTTTCATCAAACTTGTTCAAACAAGACAGGAGAATAATTTTCATTATAATTTCATTTCCATTTCTGTGTTATAAGAGAAACTGATCATTTGTTCAAATATTTAAAAGGCATGTTTGTGCTACTATAAACACTTGTTTCTCCACATTGTTGATCATCTTTATTGATTACAAATTTCTTTATATATTTAAGAAATATATTTCTTTATATATTACGTATTAAGGTTAGTGTTTGTCATGTGTTGTTTCAGTAACTTTTCCTAATCTTTTGGCCTCTTTTGATATATATAAATATTTTTGTTTTGTTTTGTTTTTTAAGAGATGGGGTTTCACCTTGTTGGCCAAGCTGGTCTTGAATTCCTGACCTCAGGTGATACGCCTGCCTCGGCCTCCCAAAATCCTGGGATTACAGTCGTGAGCCATCGTGCCCAGCCTGTCTTTTGATTTTTTAATAAGCAGAAATCTTTTTTACAGGTAGTAAAATTTACAGTTTTTCCTATACACATAACCTATTACTTTTTCTCTATTAATATTTCTGCAGATTTAGAGTCATCCGAGAATTTAAATTGTGCCTTAGACAAAATCATGAGAATTACTGTTATTGGCTCTAGAGTTCAGGAGACCCAACAAGTAGAGTTGTATAATTAGATGGAGTAAAATGTTGAAGAGGACCAAAATGATTCTGAGTCTCAAATCTGAGTTTTAGCCTAACATATCAGGAAACAGTGGTTTGGGCTCTATGTGTGTTCCTGTCTTAAAACATGGATCTAATATCATAGATGTAAATGACTGCATGTAATATCATTACTCAAATTATGATAAACCCGGCTCTGTGGATACACAGGAATGACTACTTAGAAATAATTTGAATACTCAACTTCATTCTATTTTAAAATATACAATTTATTTTAGAACAGTTTTAGATTTACAGAATAGTTAAAAATGTAATCCAGAAAATTCCCATATACCCTACATCTAGTTTCCTCTACTACTAAAACCATTTTACATTGTATGATACATTTGTTACAATTAATGAACAAGTATTGGTACATTACTGTTAGCTAAGCTTACACTTTATTCCAGCTGTTCTTAGGTTTTAAGCTTTTCTTCCTTTTTCTGTTCCAGCATTCTAAGCAGGGAGCACATTGCAGTTAGTCATCATTTCTCCTTAGGTTACTGTTGGCTGTGACAGTTTCTTCCTCTTTTTTTGTTTTTTGAGATGGAGTTTTGCTCTTCTTACTCAGGCTGGAGAGCAATGGCACAGTCTTGGCTCACTGCAACCTCCACCTCCTGGGTTCAAGTGAATCTCCTGCCTCAGCCTCCTGAGTCGTTGGGATTACAGGTGGTCATCACCACGCCCATGTTTTTCTCATGATTACATGAGGATTTACAGAGGTAAAGTGACATTTTCCTCATAGATATCAAGGATTCATACTATAAACATGATTACTATTTTTGTTGGTCTTGATCACCTGAGTGAGGGAGTGTTTGTCAAGTTTCTCCAGTGTAAAGTTACTCTTTTCCCCCTTTCCCATACAGTACTCTTTGGAAATCACTATTTACAGCACGTGATTAAAGAGTGGGGGTTTATGCTCCACTTCCCTGAAGGCAGAATATCTACATAAATTATTTGGAATTCTGCACTGGAGATTTGTCTCTTCTCCATTTATTTAGTTATTTATCTGATAATATAGTAATATATTAGTATGAATACATGGATATTTATTTTATACTTTGGGTTATAATCCAATGCTACTTTATTTTTTGCTCAAATTTTCCAGAAACTGAGCATAGAAATATCATCTGAATCACTGTGGCTATGCTGTTGTGAATGCCCTGAAGGCTACGAAAACAGAGACAAATTAGGAAGTTATAAACATCTAAGTAACATACAGCCATGGTTAGGTTCAGGATGGAATCAGGAAAGGTGGTGAGTCATGTAGAAATGGAATATAATCTGGGGAAAAGAATTTACTTTTCAATAAATAATGCTTGATTAACGTGGATATCTGTAGGAGTATCAACAATAAACGACCCGCTAAACCTCATATTGTAGACCAAAACTTGAGATGTGAGAGGTGAAATAAAGCTTCTAGGGGAAGAAAGAATATCTTCATGACTTTGTAGGCATGAAACACACACAAACATTTGAGACTCAAAGTTCTAACTGTGTATGGAAAAAGATTGATAAACAGGATTTAATTAAAATAAAAAACTCCAAATCATCAACCCATATCTTTAAGACTTTCGCCACAGGGGTTTTTCCCCAGCCAATATAGATATAGTTTTTGCTTTATATCCCTTATATAATACCCATTTCTATGCCACTTGCAATCAGTTCTGGTGATTAAAAGCCTTTTTAAAAAATGTTCATTTTAATATTCAAAATAATTTTTTTTTTTAGACAGAGTCTTGCTCTGTCACCAGGTGCCAGGCTGGAGTGCAGTGGCGTGACCTCCACTCACTGCAGTCTCCACTTTCTGGATTCAAGTAATTCTTCTGCCTCAGCCTCCTGAGTAGTTGGGACTACAGGCACGCGCCACCATGCCCAGCTAAATTTTTTTTGTAGTTTTTGGTAGAGATGGGGTTTCACCATGTTGGCCAGGATGGTCTTGATCTTTTGACCTTGTGATCTGCCCACCTCGGCCTCCCAAAGTGCTGGGATTACAGGCGTGAGCCACTGTGCCCAGCCCAAAATAATTATTAAAAGATTACATGCAATAGTAATAAATATAAGCTGAGTATCCCTTATCCAAAGTGCTTGGGACCAGAAGTGTTTTGGGAATATTTGCATGATACTTAACAGGTGAGCATACTTAATTCAAAAGTGTGAAATTTCCTTTGAGCATCACATTGGGTTCAAAAAATTTTGGATTTTGGAGCATTTCAGAGTTTGAATTATCAAATTAAGGACACTCAACCTGTAATCCATAAAGTCTCTAGAGTAATGTTGTTTTTGCATTCATGTTCCTATATGTTTATTTATGAGAACTGCTACTATTTTTTTTTTTCAAAACAGCAGGTTGTGACTACTGATCTAGCTTTTTTCTTCTAAAATTATGTTTCCCTCCCATTATCCTTAGGGTTTTTGTTGTAGTTATTCTTTTATTGGGTTATATGCTTGGATTCTTTATTTACAATTTCTCTAATATTCTAACGAATGAATTTAGAGCTGTAAAATTTCTTCTGTATATAATAGATCCTTATGGGTTATATAGTCTACTCAGCACCATTTATTTTAAAAAATAATTTGTTTCGATTTTAACTAATTTACTCGTTTATTTTTAGAGACAGCGTCTCATTCTGTTGTCCAGGCTGCAGTGGAGTGGCACAATAATAGCGTACTGTAGCCTTGAATTCCTGGCTCAACTGATCCTCTCACCTCAGCCTCCTGAGTAGCTGGAGGTCACCATGTCTGGCTCATTCTTTTTAAAACATTTTCTGTAGAGACAGGGATTTGCTGTGTCATCCAGGCTGGTCTCAGACTCCAGGCTTCCAACAATGTTCCTGCCTCAGCCTTCCAAAGTGGGGGGATTGCAGGCATGAGCTACTGTGCCTGCCTGGATTTTATTTTTAAGCAAAGAATCATGCAGAATACTAAATTAGTATTTGGATTTCAATGGAGAAAACTGCCATAGCTTTTCATTTCTACCCTGTTACAAATTTTATAGTGTATTTTTACACTTAATAGCCTTATATTTTTCTGTAGGACAAATTTTTTTTTTTTTTTTTTTTGAGACAGAGTCTTGCTCTGTCACCCAGGTTAGAGTTCAGTGGTATGATCTTCGTTCTTTGCAACCTCCGCCTCCCAGGTTCAGGCAAACCCTGTGCCTGAGCCTCCCAAGTAGCTGGGACTACAGGCACACACCACCATGCCTGGCTGATATTTGTATTTTTAATAGAGATGAGGTTTTACCATGTTGGCTAGGCTCCTGGCTTCAAGTGATCTACTCACCTTGGCCTCCCAAAGTGCTGAAATTATAGGTGTGAGCCACTGTGCCTTGCAGCAAATATTATTTTTCAACAGGAATAAGTGTCAGTCAAACTTTCCCTGTACTCATTTAAATGAACGTCTTTCTCCATTGTGAGGTCTTTGTTGTTGAGTTAAGATATAGGTTATGGCTAAAAGTTTTCCTATAAATAATAAAAATGAAGCTTGAGAAGATAATGGTGATAAGGTAACATTCACTAAGCACTTATTTTGTGATAGGCACAATGATAGAATCCATACAATAAGGCTCTGAGGTATTCTGATTCTACCCGCATTACCATAGTTATGTTTTAGATGCACATAAAAGGATCTGGAAGAATAAGTAAATTGGTTAACATTAGAAAGGAACTGAGGCCAAGAATGCTGCTCAAAGGAAAGGCCAGCTTTATCCGTAATGTAAAAATCTTTTATATTGACACATTATCTCTGAAGTAAACAATAAATAAATAATGCAGACACACTGAAAAGGGGCTATCAAGGTAAGTGTTTGTAGTAGGAAAATTTTTAATGTTTGACAAAATTTGGGTTTGAAAAAGACAGGTGAATACTATAAAGTGAATAAAATAGTAACAACATATTTACAGACAAAAAATATTAAGGGCTGGTTATAGTATAGCATGATCATACCTTGTTTCCAAAACAGTGAGATAGTATTAAAGGATTTGCTCCAAAAGTTCGACAGTGATTATCTATAGTTGGCAAGATTACAGATAACCATATGCTTTTTTTCTTCTTATCTACATTATGATGAGGGAAAGCTGTTTTGCAAAATGGAGAGTATAATTTTATAAAAGGAAAGTAAAATAGTCTTCTAAAATAAAAGGTACAGGTTCATCAGATATTAAAGCATACTTAAAAGTAACAATTATTTACCATAAACAGGATGAGACATAGATACAAATATGTAAATTTAAAAAACAAACACTGACCTGATATCCAAACTTAATGTGAATAAAAATTTAGCTTACCATCAAATAGTCAATAAAAAATATGAAAATGGACAAGGTTATTGAATAAATGGTGTAAAGATAATCAGAGAAGAAAAACTGATATATTGAGACTTGCAATAAATAATTTTGAGATGAATCAGTAATTCCATATAATAAAAAAAGACGAATGTTTAAAATAGAGGCAAAATACAATAAATGCTTTTCTTTCATTTTTAACATTCACAAGTATGAATTTTCTAAAAGTAATGAAGGAATGAATATAGCTAAGGATCTTCAAATATTGATTTTATCTGGAGTTTTTTTTTTTCCTGTATAAATTTTCTTAGACTGACTAGCCTGTGAAGCATAAGTAAGGCATTTGTACCTTAGTTCTATTTGTAGAGCTTTTCACCACTATGAATTTTCTTATGTCATATGTTTAGAGTCCTTTCATCACATAATTTCAATTTATAGTTTCCAATTCACAGTTTCATACCATTATGACTTTTCTTATGTTGCTGAAACTCTGAACCCCTCCCATAAGCCTTCCCACAGTTCTTACATTCATAAGGTTTCTCACCTGTATGAATTCTCTGATGTTGAGTAAGGCTTGAGCCACTACAAAAAGCCTTCCCACACTCCCTGCATTCATAGGGTTTCTCACCAGTGTGTATTCTCTGGTGCCGATTAAGAGCTGAGCTACTACTAAAGGACTTTCCACATTCTTTACATTCATAGGGTCTTTCACCAGTATGGATTAGCTGGTGATGGATAAGTTTTGAGCCACTACCAAAGGCCTTCCCACATTCCTTACATTCATAGGGTTTCTCACCAGTATGAATTCTATGATGTTGAGTAAGGTCTGAACCACTACTAAACGTCTTCCCACATTCCTTACATACATAAGGTTTCTCACCAGTATGCATTCTTTGATGCTGAATAAGTTTTGAACCACTTCTAAAGGCTTTCTCACACTCCTTACACTCATAGGGTTTCTCACCAGTGTGAATTCGCTGATGTTGAGTGAGATCTGAGCCACTATTAAAAGCCTTCCCACATTCCTTACATACATAAGGTTTCTCGCCAGTATGAATTCTTTGATGTCGAGTAAGGGCTGATCCAAAACTAAAGGCCTTCCCACATTCATTACATATATATGGTTTCTCACCGGTATGAATTCTCTGGTGCCGAGTAAGGGCTGAACCACTGCTAAAGGCCATTCCACATCCTTTGCATTCATAAGGTTTCTCACCAGTATGAATCCGCCGATGTTGAGTAAGGTTTGAACCACTGCCAAAGGCTTTCCCGCAATCTATACATTCATAAGGTTTCTCACCTGTGTGAATTCTGTAATGCCGAGTAAGGGCTGATTCGAAACTAAAGGACTTCCCACATTCCTTACACTCATAAGGCTTTTCACCACTGTGAATGATCTGATGACGAATAAGGCCTGATCCAAAACTGAAGGCTTTCCCACATTCCTTACATTCATAGGGTTTCTCACCAGTATGAATTCTCTGATGGTGAGTAAGGTTTGAGCCACTACCAAAGGCCTTTCCACATTCTTTACATTCAAAAGGCTTCTCACCAGTATGAATTCTTTGATGGTAAGCAAGGTTTGCACCACTACCAAAGGCCTTGCCACATTCTTTACATTCATAAGGTTTCTCACCAGTATGAATTCGCTGATGTCGAATAAGGACTGATACAAAACTAAAATCCTTCCCACATTCCTTACATTCAAGGAGTTTCTCATCAGTGTGAATTCTCTGGTGCTGGATACTGAAAGTGGGCATGTCTTCAGGAGTAAATATCATTTCACTGAAATGTCCTTCCTGAGATCCCTGTTTTCCCTCAAACTGGCTTTTACATTCCCAGTCACCTCTGAAACTTGAACACTCAATGCTGTGTTTTGTAAGTTTTTCCATTATCTCCCATCAGGATGATTCTATTCCATAAATATTCTTTTCAGAAATAATTTCTTGGTCTCAACCTTGATTCACAGTCTGAAAGAAAATATAAAAGCAAACATTTACTTTTTTGTGTTCTGGGAGAGTTTTAACGTTTATAATAGATATGAAAGACAACTACAATTTAATTTTCATAAAAATTGAGTGGCTTATACAGTTCTCACATATGACTGGGCAATTTGAAAAACAGATTAGAAAAGCAGAGAAAATGAGTAAAAGTCAGACTAGAAAGTGAAGGAGGTATTCAGGAAACAGATTAATTATTTCTAAATCATCGTTTGGATAAAAGTTCCCTGCAAACTTTGAAAGCTTGATAATTATATAGATGTCCTGGCCCTGTCTTTTGTTCCTTTTTACAAAATCCTTTCCATTCCTTTTAGTGAGGTTTAGTGAGGGCACTGGGATAAATGCACATTTCACTTGCCCTTTTTCAGAGAAATTATGTCCTACACCTAGAGAAATCTTGTTTTTAGATGCTTATTTGTAAGGACGATATATTTTGAAAATAATTTATTATATTAGCTATTCAGTAAATGCATTTATTTTTTGCATGTACCAGAGTTCAAGTTGATTAAATTAACAGACGTTAACCTTGTCTTCAAGATCTTGGCTCTACTGTAGCGGAGATTAAACAAGCATTCAAACAAATATAAAAATTTTAACTGTACAGAATAAATATGTAAATTGCCCATTATCAAAACAAAACACAAAGAGGAAAAAAGTGCTCTGAGAAATGATGGTGGAGTGTGCATAATTAAGGCTGAACATGCAGGAAATATTTTAAAGATACATCATTTAGCACAGACCTAAACCATTGCTGGAAACTTGCAAGGCCATAAGTAGGGGCAGTGGATATAGGGGGACATTTCAGGCTTTGTCTTAAGAGATGAATCTAGTGTTATGAAAACTGATAAATGAGGGTAATTCTCATATTCATTTCTCAGGGTTGGTGGGAGTACTACATTTTTCCTGGGGTGGAAAATCTGGGATGATTCAGTGATAAACATAATTTGCATATAAACTGATGGAGACAAAAAAGAAAGATAATCCATAATGAAAGACTAATGTGCTAAATAAGTATGGAATGAGCTATGGAAAGGGAAGATCTATCTGTGGTTACAATGTGGTTTGTTTATGATATTTAACTAAAAATAAGTGTGCCTCCAAATTCTATGATGGCATGGGAAGAAGGAACTCAGGGCTACAGCAGAGGAACAGAATCTACTTTTAACATAAGACAAAAGGGAAGACAAGACAGGTGTCAATCTGATACTACAAGATTGCAAGAAAGATGAAGAGACATAAACATCCTGAACCTCATCTTTGATCACACCTAATCTACTATGTACTTGCATAAAGTACCTGTCCAGTGCTTATTATTTTGGGAGATTTATTTGCCATAAAAGTAGAGACTAGGAAAGGGAATGGATTTAAAGATACTATCAAAGGCCCTGAGTGAATACCTCAAACCCCAAAAGGTAAAAACATTCCAGCATCAATCTCTTTCTACAACTCACATAACAGTGCTGTTTAAAGCAAGTCTAAATATGTCTTGAAATTGTTCTTCCAATCTCCAACTGGCTAATCCAAATCAGAATTATCTTTTGCTTGGACACTAAAGCAGCATTTCTTCTAGCTGCCTGCATTTCCAGTTTTGGACCCTTAGCACCCAGAGTGATATTAAGCCTGGAACTGTTTTTCTCAAAATGAACTTGCTCTTAAAAGTTCCTCAGTGATCTGCCTGTCTCTTAAACCTTATATTCCTCTTGGCACCCCCACCCCAACAATACACTGTAGCTACAGTGGCCTTCATAGTTCTTTAAATGCACAAAACTGTACCCACCCACCCCTATTATGATTTCATCTGCCTGAAATGTCCCCCTATATCCACTGCCCCTACTTATGGCCTTGCAAGTTTCCAGCAATGGTTTAGGTCTGTGCTAAATGATGTATCTTTAAAATACTTCCTGCATGTTCAGCCTTAATTATGCACACTCCACCATCATTTCTCAGAGCACCTTTTTCCTCTTTGTGTTTTGTTTTGATAATGGGCAATTTACATATCCATTCTGTACAGTTAAAATTTTTATATTTGTTTGAATGCTTGTTTAATCTCCGCTACAGTAGAGCCAAGATCTTGAAGACAAAGTTAACGTCTGTTAATTTAATCAACTTGAACTCTGGTACATGCAAAAAATAAATGCATTTACTGAATAGCTAATATAATAAATTATTTTCAAAATATGTCGTCCTTACAAATAAGCATCTAAAAACAAGATTTCTCTAGGTGTAGGACATAATTTCTCTGAAAAAGGGCAAGTGAATCATGTGCATTTATCCCAGTGCCCTCACTAAACCTCACTAAAAGGAATGGAAAGGATTTTGTAAAAAGGAACAATCCCACCACATAAAAGGAAATCAATGAGAACACTGCAGCAACAAAACATTTTAAGTCTTTTTTTTTTTTTTGAGACAGAGTTTCACTCTTGTCACCCAGGCTGGAGTGCAGTGGTGCAATCTCAGCTCACTGCAACCTCCGCCTCCTGGGTTCAAGTAATTCTCCTGCCTCAGCCTCCCAAATAGCTGGGATTACTGGCACCCACCACCACACTTGGCTGCTTTTTGTATTTTTAGTAGAGATGGGGTACCATGTTGGCCAGGCTGGCCTTGAATTCCAGACCTCACGTGATCCACCTGCCTCAGCCTCCCAAAGTGCAGGGATAACAGGCATGAGCCACCACGCCCAGCCAACATTTTAAGTTGAAAGTGTAAGATAAATGATGACGAACCAAAAACGATATAGTCTTAACTAAAATTAAGGAAAAGCCACACATATTACACATTTTTATGTAAAAAAGTTTACGATTTATCCTGCAGAACCCCAGAAAAACTTAAGAAGTGGAGGGAACTAACTACCTATAAAAGTCTAACAATCAACACATAAAATTTAACATACAACTTCATAGGGTCCAGTCTGAATTACAAATAGATCACCACCTCATGAAGATACGTGCTTCCCCATGTTCAAAGCAGTATTATTCTATTCACAAGGCGTGAAAGTAACCTATGCGTCCACTGATGGATGAACAGATGAAGAAATTGACATATATAAATGAGTACTATCCACCATTGAAAATGAAAGAGATCCTGCCATTTGCCACAACAGACATGAAACTGGAGGACATTATGCTATGTGAAATAAGGGAGACATGGGAAGAGAAATACTGAATGATCTCACTTATATTAGAATGTTAACAAAAAAGTATAGAAATAGCATACAAAATGGTAGTTACCAGGGACTGTCAGGGAGAAAATGAAGAGATGCAGGTCAAAGGATACAAAGTTTCAGACATGTAGAAAGAATAAGTCTAGAGATCCAATATACAACATGAGGGCTATAGTTAATGTCATTGTATTGTAGTTGAGTTTTTTAATAAGAGAGCAGATTTTTGGTGTTCTGGCCACACACACACAAAAGGTGTAACTGTGAGATGATGAACATGTTAATCTGCTTGAGTACAGTAACCATTTCATAATGTATATCAAAACCATAAATATATATAAAACGTCTTAAATATATACAAAAATAACAGAAACAAAAAAGGCAAATATTAGATATTTGAGAAAAGCCTGTAAGATAAAAGACAACAGAAACAAAAAATAGGAAAATATTAGATATTAGAGAAAAGCCCGTAAGATTAAAGATGGTAAACAAAGCAACCAAAGGAACTCAGAAGAGAGACTACATTGGGGAACCAACAAAACCTCAAAAGTCACCATGTGTATTCTCAGAGGGATGTGAGAAGCTATTCCACATGATAATAGAACAATATGGGAGAATTATTAAGTGACAAAAAGTATTCATAGAAAATGAAAATATAAAGTGGGAATAAAAGCAAATCAAACATAAATAAAATCTCTTTTAAAAACATACAAAAAGATACAAAAATAGGAAAATATAGGAGGTAAAGCAACAAATTCCAACACCTACTGAGAAGAAATAATTTTTAGAAGTTTGCTAAGAATCTACAAAGTGTGCTAGAAGAAATAAAGGAACCTGAGAATCACCATTTAAAAATCATCATCAGAATAACAGATTCAGGCAAGGATCCCCAATGGATTCTAAAACCAGATAATGAATTGTGCTGGGGAAAAGGATATTCACTTGATCTCACAGTATCACTCACAGATTATTTATTAATTATAAAGGGAAAATATATACCTTTATAAGAGAAAGATTTGGTACTCACCACCTTAATCTTAAGTGGTAAAACTTGATGTCTAAGTCTATTTGTGTTGCTATGAAGGCATATCTAAGGGCGGTAACTGATAAAGAAAAGAGGTTTATTTGGCTTACAGTTCTGCAGGCTATACAAGATGCATGGCACCAATATCTGATGAAGGTTTCAGGCTGCTTCCACTAGTAGGTGAAGGGGAACCAGGATATGCAGAGATTACGTGGAGAGAGAGAAAGCAAAAGAGAGGGCCAGGGGAGTTGCTAGATTCTTTTTAACAACCAGCTGTTGTGGGAACTAGTAAGAGCAAGAACTCACTCACCCACTGCCTCCCAGGGAGGGTATTAATCTATTTATTCATCAGGATCCACCCCCAAAACTGAAATACCTGTCATTAGGCCCCACTTCCAATATTGGGGCAAAAATTTCACTAAGATTTGGAGGGGACAAACATCCAACCTATAGCACTTGGCATCAACAGTAGTGGAGCAACCTGACATATGTGCTTCCCAATGTAATACAATCAAAGATGTACCATCATACCACCTATGTGGTATGCTTGCCAGAAATATTTAACCTGAATCTAAGCTTCCTATACATAAGACAGCCATGAGACAAATAAAGGTTATGGGACATTCTGTGGGGATTCACTTAGGGTGGTTGCAAAAATATTAAGGGAAAAATAATAGAAAAAGTTACAAAATATAATCTTCAACCCTTTTGGAAGGCCTAAGGTTTTTTCTGTAGTTCTTGGCTGAAGGCAGCTTTGTCCCCTTAGTTAAATAAATTAGAGTAAAAGGG